GCGGCCTCGCCGGCCTCCCCAGCCTCTCTTGTCCCACCGGACTCGCTGCCCCCTCTAAGCATGCCCAGAAGTAGCTTTGATGATGCTTGGCAACGCCGAACAGAAGTCGTTGAAGATCATACAGAGGATTCTGATCCGCCAGCGAAGAAGATTCGGCACGCAAAGCCTGTACGAAACGCAGCTGCCGGTCGCGAGAACACCATAGGGCTTCGAGTAAGCGAAGTTCTGCTGTAGCTCTCTGTGGTTGTCTGTAGCACTCCATAGCTCCGTATCATGTCTGTAACAGTATGTAGCGGTCCATAGCAGGCGGGGGCGAGAGATGCCCGCACGGACTCGGAGCCGTGCAGGGCGTTGTCGCTCTCCGATCATGTAGCATGGCGGCATCTCGCGCGTGTAAGAAAGCAAAATGTGACATTCTTGTAGAGACCGGATACACATAAGACCAATCTGAGACTAAGACCAAGCAAGTATCACGCAGAATGAGGCCAAGACCGAAAACATTGAAACGGACCAGACCATAAAGTACAGCAGCGCGAGAAAATCAGAACCACAAGACGACCAAGAGAATACATATTCTAGAAAACGCGAGAGTACAGTATATATCTAGTCGGTACGTCCGGACAGACATGGGCTGATGTCTGTCACTGACAAAGGAAGGGACAAAGGGGGGACTTTGAACCATCGGGATGAACATCAGCACAAAACCTCACCGAACGTGCACTGGAGCTTGGGGATCGGAGAAAGGACATGGTGGTGTTGTACCATCCTTCACTTGCATAAACCTAGACCTACTGAGGAATGACACAACGTACGCCATCACGTTGTTTGTGCGTGTAAGGTCTATAGGTGGTTGCACCGAGTGCTAGTCTCAGTGAATCTAGCGCTAGTGAAATTGCTGATCCCGCCCCACGTGAAGGTATCATTGCCAGTTCCATGGGTGAGCCTTGCCGTTAATCTGTCTCGAGATTGTTAAAATGCTGATGAAATCGCTTACGGCAAAGTTGCTAAGTCGTGTCACCTACGCGGATGATCGATGGTCTGTTTCCCCATCATGACATACCGTTGGTCCTCGATTTGGTATCACAGCTCGGTCGCACCTCAAGCTTTGCAAGGTTATATATCCAGTCACGAGCTTTAAAGAGACAACTCACATAGCCATCAAGGGTATACAAGGCCACAGCGAATCACTCGAACGGTTCTACACATCTATTCCAAACCGTAGATGGAATTCTTACAGATCAATATCTCGTGTGCGCTCCTGCCGGTGGTCAATATAGCTCCTGGCCACCTTACCACGCTCTCTTGTGCCCGTCTACGAGGGTCTATTCAGCAAGCAACCTGGGTATAATAATTGCATCGATATCTTCTCGTCGATCGGTGCACCATCCCGCAAATCACCGTATCTCCTGCAACAAGAACCCATACTCGAAGACATGCACTGCGTATGCCAGCCCAATGAGATCTCGCCCTATGCTACCCGTAGATGCCCTCACATGCATCAAGAAAAAACGAATTGAGAAGTACATAATATGCCCGTATCTCAAGCACCATCTACTATCCTTCCTCAGTGCTCGTAGGATACACTAAGTAGGTATTGATACAAGTACAGATTCTATAATATGACATCGCAGCAGGGAAACCGCACGTTCATCGCTTGCGCTTCGTCCTGTGGCTCGCGGCAGTAGAATGGTCCTCCGGCGCTGAAGGAGGTATCCGCAGGCCTGCCATATCCGACTTGCGTTTCTGCGGAAGGGGCGTCATATTAGTAGAGCGTGCCACGGGAGTGGCGGTATCGGAGACCTCGTCCAGGAATGACGTGAGCTGGTCGGTCGACGCGTCCCCCACAGTGGTTCCGTCGATGATGCGGGTCGACGGATCATAGTGATCGGTCACGTCCGAGAAGTCGAGATTTCCGTTCGAGCCGGACATCCCATTCAGCAGGGTCTCGAGGAATAGATCCGACGAGGGATCCTCGCGATGTCCGTCCAGGTTGGGCATAAGCGACGCATCCTGGTGCATCCCGTTCGGTCGCATTCCATTTGGCAGCCCACTTGCGTGCTCTCCATTCTGTGGCTGCCCGTGGCCATTGGCGTAGCCACCCATCGGTAGTCCCCCGCGATTCTCGTGCGCTTGCGACATGAGAGCTTGCGGATCCATGCCCAAGTCATTGATCAACGTGTGCAAGCTGTTCTGCAACATATCCATATCCGCCTCTATCTCTACAGTGTCACGGTAAGTCTTCTGCAAGCGTGAGACGTTATCCAGCAGCGGTTCCAAAGGCGCGGCCTCATCTCCGTGTGGCATCGATGGATTGAGCACAGGCAAGGAAGCGTGTGACATGGGGGCAGCGACGGGCAGTTCGTGGCGATAGCGGTTGTAGTCGTTGTACGTGTTGGCGCTGGTAGTGTAAGGTGCCAACTGGGCCATGGTGTCCTGGTGGTTGACAGGAGGATTGTCAGCCATAGGCCCCACGTTCTGCTGCGTCGCGGCAAGCGCCTGCATGAGACGCTGCATCTGCACGGGGTTGTTCAGGACCTGCTGAATCGCAGCCTGCCACATGCCGTCCAGGTGGTTCGGGCCGGGCGTGCTGGGTGCGAATGACATCATCGTGGAAGGCGACAGCGCAGCATCACTCCGAGGCATGTTGTTGACAGGCGGGGTGCGATTGACGGTAGGCGTAGTGCGCGGAGACATTTCTGTCGTGGAACCGTGGTTAGAGCCGGTGCCTGCGCTTGTTCTTGACAGTACCTCAGCAGGCCGCGTCGGACGGGCCGTATACCCTGGCGGAGTGGAGTCGATCACGGAGTTGGCAGAGACGGGCGAAAATGTTTCGGAGGGCGCCGTGGAGGGCGCAGGCGACATAGCCGACATAGCGGGAGACCCGACGCTAGAGATTTGACCTGCGAGACGGTGGAGTTCGTATATTGTGCGTTGCAGTATGTCGGGCGGTAACTTACCAGCAAGCGGACTATTTGTGCCCTCTTGCGGGGGCGCTGCCTGATTCATAAAGTCCCCATCATCATCGTCATCAACGTCAGCAACTTCGACAGTCTTTCCCTTGGGTAACCTGCCATCACCGATCATGAGTCTCTGACGAGCACGTGGAACAACGCCTGGAGAACGACCATCGTCGGTTTTGTGTATCGACTCGGAGGTATGGCCGAACACGCCCGCTAGAAATTTGAGGATGCGGTTGATAGTGTCCTGCTGTTTGTCGTGCCTCTGGCGGGTCAACGTTGCCTCCTCCCAGAGCAAATCATTCGACTTCTTCAGCGCGTTGAGATCGGCAGAGATAGCTTGCTGGTGGCGTTTGATGGCGGCGATGCCATTGACGATGGTGTTGATGTCGAGGACCTGCCCCGGGGTTCCGTTGACAGAGGCTGATGGGTTCGCGGCGTCGGATAGGTCGGCCTCGTCTGCATTGTTCGCAGGCTGCTTCTTGCGCTGTATCAAGCACAGGAGGTCGGGCTGGCCGCGATGGAAATGTGGGTGCTCAAAGTTCCACGGCTCGGTGTCGGTGTCGCTCTTGAGGACACCTTGTTGGAGATGGGGGATTTTGTGGAAGCCGTACATGTTAAGTTGTCGCACAAACGAGGTGAACTTTTGGTGCTTAAACCAGCGTCCGAGAACCTCGCGCGCAAAGCGTTCGTGGTTGAGGACTGAGTACTGGATTATGGCATCCACAAAAGAGATCTGCCTCTGTTGAACGCACCGTAGAACGAATCCCCATTTTCTGACCAGCGGATAAGCTCATCATTCCTAGGATCGTTGACGATCCTAAATACGGAGAACGTCAGACCTAATACCTCGGTCAAGGCGAAATCTGCGCACTCGTAAAGTTTCTGAAGGAAGGGAGGCACTACCTGACGGGCAGCTTTACTAAGATGAGACGACTCTCCCCTCGTTGTGCGTGCCAGAGCAACCTGATGCTCGAGCGACATGATCTTCAAAGGCGAGATGGAAGTAATAGTACAACAGAATAAATCGAGCCGTTTTCGTCAAGCGTGGAAAGAATTGAAGCAGAATCGCTGACTGGGGGCAGTTCAGCCACCGACGAGAGCGTGAGCCAAAAGTGGGCGCGAAATGGGCGCCGACGCGACCCGAATAAAGGCCAACGGCAAATGTGGCGGAACCCGGGATCATTCAGCCACAGCCCGCGAACAAACTCTTGCGAGGCGCTCTCCCGAGGCTCGGGCCTCGCAGCAGAAGCATGCAAGATACTGACGTATGCACCACGTAACTAATGACATGCGGACGCGCACTATCTACTAGCCGAGATCCGAGAGTGTGAGCTCAGACGAGAGAGAAATCTCCTATTTGAAACATCCATGGGACACAAGAAAGTGTAAATTCCGGTCATTGATAAGGGCAAAAATGAATCAAATGACAACGGAACTTCATCGACATCAGCACGAGGCACTCGGAGCCAGTACGTGTGAAACTACAGCAGACGCGACTGGTGGAGAAGGTCAAGTTGGGAAAATCCGCTCAAATCAATTTCTGTTTATCTACTTTCCAATAATTGTCAGGAAGCACAAGGAGTACTGACTAGTGACTAGTCAGTAGTGACTAGTGATTCATGATCGAGGGATGGCGCAGATGCATCAATGACGAACGAGCGTGGTGGCCACTCCCGGGCCGCTAATTGAACCGTAAAAGGAAGCAGACTTGCCGAAGTAGGCAAGGGGCTCGCTTCGAGCACCTATTTGCGCCACGCTTCACGGTCCAAATTAGCATGTTACAGAATTGCAGCCGAGTTTTCTTTTGATCAGCCAAAGATATCATCTGTATGTAGTAGAAAATTCCCGCCTCAGCTGATTCCTGTTACCCTGGCGGAGCTTCAGACTCGGAGGAAATGATTATCATTAGTCCTTTCAGTTAAGGCGAAGGAGATGGAGCGATTCGTGCATTCCACGTGCACGTAGAACTGTGCTGGAGTAAAACTAGAATGGGACCGTCATGCAGCCTTATTGGCAGCGGCGATTGCGAGCAGAGCCTTCGCATGTCAAATGATCAATGCAAAATAGGCTGCATCATGATCGCATTCGCAGCAGCGATGCTGGATGATAGATAAATCCTCCCGTCATATGATACGCAGAATATCGACGAAGACCACGTCATATTTTTGACTGTTTCGGCGCTCTGACTAGATGAAGAGTCAAGGTGTGCTGTTGCTCGCCACTATGCGTTTCCAGGACTTACCGGCCCCTGACCGGTCGCAGAGAATGGAGTCCTCGCTCGTCGCTAATCGCAAGTGTGCTTATGTACCATCTTCGCTGGCTGGCAACACGCGCATGCCAATTTGCAACGTCGACCGAAATTCTTCGAATAGGTGACGACAAATATCAGCAGAACAGGAGCAAAGATAGCGGCGTAACAAACTCACAGAGCGGAACAGGAGAACTCCTTGGGTAATGGAACACAACAAAATACTGACATGGCATTACGTCGGTAATGATGTATACCTTCGCTCACTGAGCGGTCACTGCCTGAGAAACCAATTCAAGTTGGCTTCAACGGTGAGAAAACGAGACGGCACTGTAGAAGAGGGTGAGTCAAACCAGCAAATGAGAGAGACAGTTTCTGCGATAGTGTTTGAGGACATGCGATCCGTGCGCCATGAACATACAGAACATGGCAAATAAAAGGACGAGTCTTGATTTCAGAGTATCTCATCGTCGTCCTTGAGGATGTGGGGAAAGGTTACCGAATAACTACGGAAGATCAGTCATTCCGTAATCTCCGCCGCATTCCCCATGTCCAATATGTATCGATGCGGTACACCTCGATGCAGTCGTGAAAACGGTACGCACATGTGCTGGGAGCAGCCTGAATTGGCGCACCCAACATTGAGACCGGCGTTTGCCGAATAGGCGCCCGATTGATGAACGCTCCCCCAAGTCGATCGTTGGCCTCGACACTGCCATGGTGTACATTCAATCCTGGCAGCAGTTCCAAGAGGCGGCGGAGGCCCTCTATGACAAGGCTCCCACCACAGTACGTGCTGCGCTGCCTCGATGGTGTGCGTTGACGCTGACGCGCTGCAGACTCGGTATTGTGTGAAGTGGAGGGCGTCGGAGGGGAAGCTGGTGCTGAAGATCACGGACAACACGACCGTGAGTGATTAGTATGCGGACGGCGAGGTTACGAGTGCTGAATGCGTGGAATGAGCAGTGCTTGAAGTTCAAGACGCATTCTTCTTTATACCTGAACCGGTTCGAGGCGTTGAACCTCTCGTTGATGCAGAGGATGCAGAACCGACGACCGCAGCAGGCATCGGCTGGCCCCGTGAAAGCTGAAGCACCAGAGCCCTCGACGAAAGGTATTCCTGCTCCTGCAGCTGCAGTTGATACTACGGGCGCAGCGGGCGGCGGCGGCGGCGTCAAGAAAAAGAAGCCAAAGAAGAAGAAGTAGCCTTGCACTTGTGCGAGAGTGGGGTCCTACCCGCTGCTATTTTCCTCGCGAAATGCTCTACTATACCATGATGTTTAGCTTCACATTACTGTATTATTGTTCCAGTATCTGCTCATGTACCTAGCCGCTCTACTTGCGCCGACAACGGCTTGCCGGCGATGCTTTGGCCTTTGAACGCAGCGGTCGGACGTCGATGTGTACACATAATGAATAAGAAACACAGAAACGATCTATCAAGCACTCAACCAGCTCTGGCTGGACATTGCTGAGTATCCGCAGTGAAAGTTACAATGGTATCACAAGATGAGCACTAGGTAGTCCAAAAAGCATGCGCAAGGTCATTCACAAACAGAAGAAATCAGGGATGGACGACTTGAGACCGTCGAATCTAGCCCACGCCATGTCCTTGTGCCACGACAAGCACGTCACACACAATGTTGCCTCAAACAGCTCGTCCGCACACGTCGCCATCACATACAATTCTCGTAACAGCCAGCATTCGAAAGGCGAGTGCGGGTCCGAAACGACCTTGGCACGCCAATATCGTTGCAGGGGCTCTCTGCACTGCGCACATGAGTCGAATGACGGCCCATCCGGCCGCGTCATGAATGGGTCCTGCAGGATCCGCGCGGTGAAGTGATGCAAATGCTCGCGCCCGATGACGAGCCGCCGCATGTCCGCAGGGGACAGGATGAGGTGTGAGCGGCCGCCCTCCGCGTTGTAGCCCCATCGTTGTAGAGATAGTGCGTAGAACGCGGCGGGGAGGATCTCGGGGACGTCGCACTCGCGTGCCAGAGCGATCGCCTCTGCATGATGCAAGCGTGACATGTAAGAATCATTATAAGGTGAAGCAATATGAGGCTCACCGGCGGCGCAAGGCAGAGAGCTCGTATCCATGTGTTCAAGGTCAGAGGGCCAGCGCGCCCGCAAGTGATTTACAGCCCACTTACGGAGAGCGCCAATCTCATATTTTGTCCCTATGCGAAGTGCGCTGGGGATGAGAGTGAAAGGAATGGGATGTATCATTTTATTGAAAGCACTAAATGTCATACGTCGAACAGATGAAACCATCGCATTCCGAAAACAACCGTAGCACTCACGCGGGTTCGTACATCCACTGCAACGCAACAAGCCAGTCCTGTGCGGCATCTGGTAGACTCACAATAGGACAGTCATCCACTTTGTCAACTACATCTGGCTGTGGGACAGCCAGCATGTCTGAGAAGATATCCGAACATTGTAGACGCTTTCGGTGTATCTTGAACAGGTGTCGTTCTACATCCAGGACGATGTCACCGTCGGCGAACCAGAATGGCCGCGTAGGGGAGCTCTTCTCCACTGTAGAATAATACCCTCCTGCATATCTCATACGCTTGGGAGGAGGAGATAGTCGATCTTGGTTCGCCATAACACGCGTTGCAGTGGCTGGTCACCGCCGCCAACTTAGCAACGCGTTTCGCGGTTCGTGGAGAACTGCAGGTGAACGCCCCTATGCCGGCTTCTGATAACGCTTGCTTTCGCTAAGAGCAACGCAATTTTACGCTCGTCGTTGGGAGAAAAACTGTAGGGGAAGAAAATGATGAAGGCAAGCTCAAAGCTGCAAGCCGGCTTGAACTCAACTTGAACTTCTGCTTCCGCTTCTGAATCGTGGCCAAATCCGTGTCACGTGCACCGCGTCTCATATGGGCGCTTATCAGTGGTTCCAGTAGCTCTGAGGCTCTCCCACACAACTTGGCAATGCAATGCTCCTCTTCGAGAAATCCGTCCATCTCCGCCACAGGTGTCCAGAGGCGAGAATACATGACTCCACTCGTCTGTCTTCCTGAGAAGGAGAATGTTGCTGCCTGTATTCCGTTTTAATGGACCTTCTCAAGAGGAGCAGTCTAAACATTTCGCAACTCGTGCCGTCTCCTGCTGTAAGTCGTCGCTTCCACCCATACATCGTTGTGCTTTTGCAGTCTGAAAGTTCGGTATCGTCAGGGCACCGTGGTTTCTTTTTCTCTGCACCTTTGCTTGCATGTCAGCTCGCCGCTGCGACGGTCCGCCCGCTGGTGGTCATGGGTCTCATGATGCACGATGTCCTCTCGCCTCAGGTTTTCTCCGTATTTTCCCACTGCTCGTTGATGCTGAGGTTGGACTATTTAAGAGAGTGAATCATAAGATGCAACCCTGGGTTGCAAGAACGATGCTTTCCCTACTTTGCTTCGCACAGTGGCTAGTTGCTGCCGTATTTTCTGTGGCTCCCTCTGGGTCTTGGGATACATTTAATCTGTCACCAAGGTCGAAGACAGTCTACCCTCGGTTTGTGCACAACGTCAGTGGCGCAATCTCAAATGCAGAAGGCTTGGTCTCCAATGGCCCCGCCACTTTCTCCGGAAGTGGTTCGTACGTAACCCTTGATTTCGGTCAAGAGGTGAGCGTAGCAGAGATGATACGCGAAATTAAGCTGAATGTCATATAAGGTCGGCGGTCTCATCTCGATGAACTTTGATGAAGTTGCATCGACCTCAGCCGTCGCTCTATCCTTTACGGAATCTCCTTTGTACATCAGCCCCCTCACGTCTGACGACTCTGCAGATCAGTCTGCCAATATGTCCTATGACGGCGTGCTGGAAGTACATGCTCCGCTTGAAGTCGGACTCTATACGATGCCTTCCGTGCACTTGAGAGGTGGTTTTCGCTACTTGACCGTTGTCTATACTTCCGACAGCTCCGTCACGATTTCCAACATATCATGCGCTATAACGTTCATGCCACACGTGGAAGATCTAAGAAATTACACGGGCTATTTCTATGCGACAGATCCGTCGTACGTCGACCATGACTTTCTTACGAAGGTGCTCCACATTGCACGCTTGGAGTATTCGTATCTGGTACTAACATCTCTGATGCTCTGCAAGATATGGTATTCTGGCGCATATACCGTGCAAACGGCCACAATTGCGGCAGATACTGGTAGGGTTGATCCCCCTCTGGGCTCACCTGGTAGGATAACTCTGGAAGTGGCATCAGAAGATGCTGATGGATGTCAGGCTGGTATAACAATGCAACTGCTGGAATTGCAACTCCGCTCATCATTGATGGTGCAAAGCGCGGACGGTCAGTCTGTCAGCTCGCGAGTGTCAGGCAGTGTGACTGATTTTATTTGCAGTGCCATTTGGTTAGGTGCTATCATCATTCATTCGCGAGATTGACTAGGTGCTCATTGCCTACAAATCATAGCCGACATGGGCATAGCGGTGCCAACGGAATTTGTCTCCACTTATGATCTGACTCCCGCACGGAACTCAATCGAGTCCATTTTCTCCGAACAAAATCCCGAGACAGGTGAACTACCCTATTCTGGTCCCCCATTGAGCGAGCAAGGCAGCGATACGTATCAAGCCTGGACATTAATCGGAACATACAACTATTATCTGTACACTGGAGATACAGAATGGCTGCAGGGCATGTGGAGCAATTATACCAAGGCGATGCAGTATTTGGCAAACAAAGTGGATGATACTGGGCTGCTATACGTCACCGGCACAGGGGATTGGGGTAGACTGTGGCAGGGAGGGTATAATTCGGAAGCAAACGCGATATTCTACAAGGTTGCGCATGCACTCCGCACATAGTCACTGGACTCTCAGACGAGACTGACATGCATTCCACAGGTTTTGCTCAACAGCGCGGAACTGGCCAGCTACCTCAGCGACTCAGCGTTGGCAGCAGAATATATACACAATGCCACTGTCCTGAAGACAAAGTTCAATGAAGCTTTCTGGTCAGAAAATGAGGGTATGTATCGTGACAACGAAACTTCCACCCTCTTCCCGCAGGATGGAAACGCCATTGCGGTGTTGTACAATCTCACGACAGCGGCAGAGCAAGCCTCTTCCATCAGTGACGGTTTGACGAAGAACTGGAATGAGTTTGGAGCGATATCCCCGGAGCTGCCGGATAACATCGCACCTTTCATTGGTGGGTTTGAGGTGAGCTTGTCTAATCACGACTTCGGCTCGTGTTGAGGGTATACTGTTTCAGGTGCAAGCACACTTCGTTGCTGGAAACGATGCTCGTGCCCTGGAGCTCTTGCATCTCGAGTGGGGATACATGCTCTATACTCCCATTAGCGTTGGTTCCACGTTCCTGGAAGGTTACACATCAAACGGCTCCCTCTAGTGAGTGGCTCATTGACGGGCTACTCTCGCCCTCACGTTCTGCTTAGCTACCGGTCTTACGACGGATATAACTATGATGCGTCGTTCGTGAGCCACTCTCATGGCTGGAGCACCGGGCCCACCTCCGCGCTGACGTTCTACGTTCTGGGCCTGACGGTCACCTCTCCGCAAGGACAGACGTGGTCTGTCGCTCCTCACACGTCGGGACTTCCCGCAGCGCAGGGTGGGTTTTCTACGCCGCTTGGCTGGTTCGGTGTAGATTGGACGTCAAGCGCGGACTCCTTCAACGTTTCAATCTCCACGCCAGAAGGAACCAGTGGGGCTGTGAGCCTTCCGATGAATGGGACAATTATTGTTGATGGGGCAATGGTAGCGGAGGATGGTTCCAGCCCTTTGTCCGTTACCGGAGGCAATCATACGATTACTGTCCAGAGCTGATCTTTTCGGTATGCTCAAGTATATCGCTATTTCGGAGTAGTTCGATGCAGCGAAATCCCAAGTCACGGTGCCCGAGAAACGGCGAGAAGTGCTTCATGTGGAATCTCATCCGGAGTTTAGTCAACAAGTCGGTCGTAAGCGATCTAGCTCTCTCGAGTATGCGTTGATCGCTGCCACGAACGGGCTCGTATGCCGCGTGTAGATTCTGGCAAAATGTTTAAAGTATAGGATAGGTCCTCTGACCCATGCATATACGATGTAAGTTCCACAACTTCTGATTCGCAGTACTAAGATGCACCAGTGCGATGGTAGCGTGATCTTTACGGAAGCCCTTACCATCATTCTTTGGCGAACTGCTGACCGCACCGGCCTCGACTACTGTATAAACTTGACCATGTTCTGTCGGAAACGGGCCGAACGGGGTCTGTTCCATTGATGGCACCATCCTTCTCTTACCTCTCCATGTGTTATCTAATTGTATATATGCATGCACGACGTGGCGGATGCGACTGAGCTTCGACGCAAGATGCTTTGGTCCTTGCTTTTTGCGCCTCTTCTGGTGGCCGCTGTCCATGGTGCCGCTCCAAGTGGACCTTGGGATGCTTTCAACCTCGCTCCAGAGTCCAGGGCCGTCTACCCTCAGGCCGTACACGAGTATGGCGGTGACGTCGTTGGTGCTGACGGCCTTGTAGCAAAAGGCAGCGCCACCTTCGCAGGGATTGGAGCGTATGTAACCCTCGATTTTGGTCTCGAGGTGAGAGTATCTCGATTCATGTCTGACATCATGCTCGGCGCCGTTAACATTATTAGGTTGGGGGACTGATCTCCATGACTTTCGACGATATCGCCTTTGGCTCATCTATTGCCCTGGCATTCACGGAGTCCCCACTATTCATCCGCCCACTCGAGTCCGATGATTCTGTTGTTGCTTCTGCGAACATGTCTTATGACGGTGCCCTGCTTGTATCTGCTCCACTCGAGACTGGCTTTTGGACGCAGCCATCTGCACGTCTGAGAGGCGGATTCCGCTATCTGACTGTCACGTCTACTTCGAGCAGCAACGTCACGATTTCGAATGTCTCTTGCGGCATCTCGTTTATGCCTCATTTTGAGAACCTGCGCAACTACAGCGGGTACTTCTATGCATCGGATCTTGCCTATTCCGATGAAGACTTTTTGACTAAGGTTTTACTTAGCTACTTTTTGCATACTTCCAAGATTGACTGACTTGCGACTAGATCTGGTATTCCGGTGCATATACGGTACAGACGGATACAATCGCTGTGAATTCAGGAAGGGAGCCTTACGTCTCTTCTCCTGGTCAGTTATTCAATTACCTGTCAGTCAAACATATGTTGACGCAGAGCTCCAGGTTGGTTGAACAACGCAACAATCGGAGTTGCAGGGCCCATCGTTGTCGATGGCGCAAAACGTGACCGGCAAGCAGTTACTTATTGCTAGATGTGTCTGAACACTAGCTGACTTTAGGACAGGACCGTTTGGCCAGGTGAAAGACTTGAATCTTGATCACACACTGAAACTGACTTGTACACAAGGTGATCTGGGCATTGCCGTGCCAACGCAGTTTGTGTCGACGAACGACCTCATTTCGACAAGCAACGCACTCTCGACCTTGTTCTCCTTACAGAACCCGGAGACCGGCCAGTTGCCATATTCAGGCCCTGTGCTTGACCTCGGGAACAGCGACACGTACCATGCGTGGAGCCTAATCGGAGCTTACAACTACCATCTGTACTCTGGGGACACGGAATGGTTGGAGGAGATCTGGACTAACTATACGAAGGCGGTGCATTATTTGGAAGGCCTGGTCGATGATACGGGATTGTTGGATGTAAGCTGGCCCCTCGACTGGGGCCGGCTTTGGCAGGGTGGGCATAACTCCGAGGCCAACGCGATCTACTACAAGGTACGTGATGCAATACGGATTCATCAGACACGCTCTTATTCGTCATTTTTAAGGTCCTGACAAACAGCGCTGAGCTATCCAGCTATCTAGGTGACAGCGATCTGTCTGAGGCATGGTTGACGAACGCTTCTGCCTTGAAAGCGACATTCAACAACGCTTTCTGGGTGGACAGCGAGGGCATGTACAAGGACAATTTGACTTCGTCCCTCTTTCCTCAGGACGGAAATTCTCTTGCTGTTCTCTTCAACCTGACAGAATCGATCGAACAGGCTGCAGCTGTTAGTGAAGGCCTCACGAGATATTGGAACGAGATTGGCTCGGTATCGCCCGAACTCCCTGATACCGTTGCTCCTTTTATCGGAGGATTCGAGGTTGGCAATTGCTTTTTTTTGTCTGTGTGAGATCTGATTTTGAATGTGTAAACAGCTCCAAGCACATTTCGTTGCCGGCCAAGATAGGCGTGCTATGGATTTCCTTCATCGCGAATGGGGGTATATGCTGTACACGCCATTGAGCGTTCAGTCGACGATGCTGGAAGGATACACCGCAAATGGGTCTCTTTAGTAAGCGGATTCGTCGTTGACAATGGAGTAGCTTTCGATCTCACCGTGTCCGCACAGCTACCGTTCGTATGACGGATACGATTACGACGCATCATACATCAGCCATTCCCACGGCTGGAGCACCGGGGCAACGTCGGCGCTGACGTACTATGTTCTTGGTCTCACGGTGACATCGCCAAATGGACAGACATGGTCGGTTGCCCCGCACACTTCTGACCTCTCATCTGCAGAGGGCGGATTCGAGACGGCGCTTGGGTGGTACGGAGTTCAGTGGTCCTCGAGCACGGCCGCCTTCAACATCTCGATTTCAACTCCAAAGGGAACGAGTGGTATTGTGGAGCTGCCAATGAATGGTACGGTCACGGTGGATGGTAGTGCAATTGACGGCAATGGCTCTCTCTCGATTGAGCTAGACGGCGGAAACCACACTATCCGCATACAGAACTGATGGGAGCGATTGTGTATGTATCGAAACATTCACACAATGTATTTGTGTAGGTAACAACAGCACAACGTTGCAGCCGGTAGTGAACGAGTCAAAGGCTGAGAAACCCTGACTCGGAGTAGCCCCATTGGTGCTATCGTCGGCGGTGTCGTCGGCGGAGTGGGCGCGCTGAGAGCGTGTCGCGTCAGGTCGCGTCGCCACACCGGCACGTGACCGCGTTTAGGCGAGACAACGTAGTTCGTGTTTCGTAATGGTACTATACGTAGATATCCTCTCCTGATGGTTCTATGCGTATGCTGTTCAAAGTGCGCGCGTTAGGTCCAAAACGAGTTAAGGAATAAAAGTACAATTTGAACAGCATACTATGCGTACTTTCACTCGCAGGCTCGTTCGATGCAGTCAGGATCGCAGACACTGGAGTGACTGACCAACAACAATTTGGCCCGGACAGTGTCCATCATGCTAGCAGCATGCCCCGATGGCTCTTTTGCCCACTGCTGTGCTCAGCGTTTGACTGCTATCACATACGTTCATCGTCCACCTGTCAGCAAGATGTTCTTGGGATGCAATGCCAATCATAGGGTGACCGTATGATGTGAGTGCCGTGCATGAATTTTCAGCCTATTCACACATCTGTGCATCATCGCAGCCGGTGTAGTCTGCATAGAACACCGTACCATGCTGCATTCCAGACTGCTGACCTGACAGTGCTTCGCTGCTGAGCATTCTTCGGTGGGCTGCGGGCCGCCCGGAGACAGTCTCGTGATGTCCTTTTCCTCGCTGCCACCATCCCGTACGTTTCTGTTTCGCACACATATACGTGATGCACGATGGGAGACGATGAGACCGTTGGTGCACGATGTCTTCGCCCCTGTTGCTCCTGTCGCTGCTCGTGGCCTCCGCCGTAAGTGCAGCCCCGAGCGGTCCTTGGGATGCGTTCAACCTCGCCCCGGAGTCTAGGACTGTCTACCCTCGTGCCATACACAGTTCCAGTGGCGATGTGGTGAACGCGGATGGCCTCGTCTCGGACGGTAGTGCAACGCTGTCCAGTAATGGCTCGTACATAACTCTCGACTTCGGGCTCGAGGTGAGAGCACTCCCGCCTGCGGCTGCTTGTCAATACTCTTTACAACTAATTTTTGCTAGGTTGGAGGACTCATTTCGATGAACCTCGACGAAGTCAACTCTGACTCGTCTATCTCTTTGGCCTTCACGGAATCTCCGATGTTCATCAGCCCGTACACCTCCGACGACTCTTCGTACCCTTCTGCTAACATGTCTTACGACGGCGTCCTGCTCGTCTCTCCGCCACTTGAAACTGGGCTGTGGACGCAGCCACCCGAACGACTGAGAGGCGGCTTCCGTTATTTGACCGTCGCATCTACGTCTACTATCAATATCACGATCGCAAACGTCTCTTGTGCGATCTCCTTTATGCCTCATTACGAGAACATGAGAAACTACAGCGGTTATTTCTATGCATCCGACCCAACCTACTTTGATGAGGACTTCTTGACGAAGGTCGGAACCAACGTGCTTTGCATTGCATGACCCCGGCTGACAACTCCGCTAGATATGGTATTCTGGCGCATATACGGTACAAACAGACACTGTCCCGTTGAACACAGGCAGAATGGTGCCTTTCGTCTCTTCCCCTGGTTCGTGAACACTGTCTTGTACCGGATATTGCTGAGCTGATGGCTGAGTTAGGCTGGCTGAATAACGCGACACTTGGTATCGCGGGACCGATCATCGTTGACGGCGCGAAGCGTGATCGGTAAGGATCGAAGCACTGGGATTCATACTATTGATCTGACAGCGAAGATAGTGCCGTCTGGCCAGGTGCTTTCCTGAACTGCTCATATGCGAGGGTATCTGCGCTTAATGATTGATCCTAGGTGACATGGGTATCGCCGTGCCGACCCAATTCGTATCGACGAACGACCTCATCCCGACCCGCAACGCGCTCTCAACTATGTTCTCCCAGATCAACCCGGACACCGGCGAGCTGCCCGAGTCTGGCCCGCCTCTGAGCCAGACGGGCAGCGACACTTACCACGGCTGGACCCTGATCGGGACGTACAATTACCATCTGTACTCAGGGGACATCGAATGGCTGGAGGGCATTTGGGTGAACTACACAAAGGCGGTGTCGTATTTGGAGAGCTTGGTGGTTGACAGCACGGGCCTGCTTAACGTCACCGGAACGCGGGACTGGGGCAGGCTTTGGCAGGGCGGATACAACTCTGAGGCGAATGCTATATTTTACAAGGTATGTAAGTCTCTGTACGGCTGTAAACGTGCTGATATACACATTCGATCAGGTCCTCACGAATAGTGCTGAATTGGCCAATTACTTGGGTGATAGCGAGCTCTCTGCAGCTTGGTCGGCGAACGCCTCTGCTTTGAAAACGACCTTCAAAGGCGCCTTTTGGTCGGATAGCGAGGGCATGTACAAGGACAACCTTACGTCATCGCTCTTCCCGCAGGACGCCAACTCCCTCGCTATACTTTTCAACCTGACTGAATGTTCGGAACAGGCTTCGCGTATCAGTGAAGGACTTGCTCGGTATTGGAGCGACTTTGGGTCCGTGGCGCCTGAGTTGCCAGATACGATTGCACCTTTCATCGGTGGATTCGAAGTGAGCACTTCATCTTCCATGTCTGAAATATGCATCTTGAACATGATGTAGCTGCAAGCACACTTCGTCGCCGGGAACGATAGTCGTGCTATGGACCTGCTACATCGTGAATGGGGATACATGTTGTATACACCACTGAGCGTCCAATCGACAATGCTGGAGGGCTACACCTCGAATGGGTCTCTATAGTGAGTGTCGCGTTGATAGCTTCTCTGGCTGCACCTTACCAAACGGTCCCTTAGCTACCGCTCCTACGACGGCTACAACTACGATGCGTCCTACGTCAGCCACTCGCACGGCTGGAGCACCGGGCCAACATCAGCGTTAACATATTACGTCCTGGGCCTCACTGTTACGTCGCCGAAGGGACAGACATGGTCCGTCGCGCCTCACATCTCTGGTCTTCCGTCTGCGGAGGGCGGGTTCGAGACGCCGCTTGGTTGGTTCGGAGTGAATTGGTCTTCCAGTGCAGATGGCTTCGAGCTGTCGATCTCCACCCCGCAAGGCACAAGTGGTGTTGTGAAGCTGTCGATAAACGGTACGGTCATAGTGGACCGAAGCGAGGTTAATGGCGGCGGTTCTGGGTTGATCGAGCTGGACGGCGGAGACCATATCGTGTATGTACGAAGTTGACAATAGTGTTGGTTTCGTGGTTGTGGACGCTCCTAGTCATGTCGCCAATGTAATGTTGAGTGAATCTCTCGGAATGTTGATGGCAACGGATCTAATGAAATGGGCGGCAGTGTGCCGGGCGCGTTCCCGCAGCGGAGCGTTTCGCGCTGATACGCCTGCCGTACCTTCTCCTTTGAACTACTCCTCAACCAACACAACACTCATTCACGAGTTTAGGGTATGCTCTACTGCTCACTCGGTTTTGTGAGCTAAGCTGAGCCTTAAATGTTCCGAGATTCATATTTCATAAAAATGCGCAAACGAGAAGGCGGGCAGCATAAGTGTAAGTCTTGGAAGTATCCAGCCATGCGTATAGCAATAGCGCATCTCTCCAGTATTTCCTTTGTGCGATGATCATCCGTACCATAGTGACTGCCATAACAGGGGATGGGTTGTCGTCCTCATCAGCAAGAGCCATCAGAAGCCACGGAAATAGCATACAACAGTCACTGGCGAAACGGCGGTCAGCGTGGCCTCCTTGCGTGATCCAATGTGGTCATTGCGTCATGTATGGTCGTCGAAGAAGTTCGCCCGCCGCTGTAGATGTGGAAATATATACACGCCGATTACAATTATGATCAAGGTATGGACTTCCTATATGGCAGAGACGGCATTGTCCGACTTCACTTGAGCGAACGATCTCATTTCCACGGAGTCATCTGTATCCTGAAACACGCGAATCATTCACAAGTTCACGCAGAAGTTTCCAACTGAAGGCTCTCACCTGCACGTGTGAGACTGCTATGTTAATTGGAGATCCAGCAAACCTCATCGTTCCCATTGCCGAGAAGGACATGACTCCACGGGTGGCAGCCTGCAATGTTGATCGCGCGTTCAACCTTGATGATGCATGTCGCATTAGAAACCATCTAAACATTATGACAATAGCGCTTACGACAGCAGCAGCGAGTTTGAGTACACTAATGAGAGTCAGACGAAGCGATCGCTGCAACAGCATGTGGGAAGACTCACGTTTCGCGTAAAACATTAAGATTCCAATCCATATATCTGACAGGTTGGTGTAATTAGCAAACAATTTGTGATCACCGACCACTTGAGGCTCACCCCACTCCGGTCGTGTGAGATTCTACAAGTAATGGTTAGTCACACAGGAAGGAAGTCTCATTTGCAAGAATATATCCTACCAGAGTTAACATTAAGATCTCGCAAATACTGAGACATAGGTTAGAACAGTGCTGCATGACGTTCACCGTACCAACCTGGTTACAAGTCCAGTTTCTATGCAATCGCCAAGGTCAGCTACGTTGATCAGGCTCTGTCATTCGCCTTACCGATAGTCCACGTCATTATCTTGTCAATCATTGCGCTTGAGCTGAATGATCATCAACGGCCACATCAGTTGCAGCATCACACATCCATTATGACGCAATGGCATACGAATGACGATGATCCTGCTTCTTCCACAACCAAAAGCAGAGAGCGCAGGTGTTGAGGACGTCGATGAACATGGCAAGTGCGAGAGAAAAAGTGATCGTCCATGGATACAAGCTTTCGTAGCGTCCGACGGTCTTGGATTTCACATCAAGGACGCAGATAGTGACGGTGATTACCACACGGCAAAAACTGGCAGACCATGAAACCAGGCTGGTGAGTAAGCGGCCAGAAATGATATAGACTCTCCATGCGAAAAACGACTTGTCGATTAAAATGAGTCTACAACTCTGACTCATCAGCGGAAAGGTAGTATTTACCTGTACAATAGCACTTAGCAGTCCTCCGATCGCAAAGGAAACATCCATACTCCAAGGAAGGTCTTGCAGGGTCGCGAGTTTGCCAAAGTTGGTTATAGTCAGAGAATATAAATATATGCAGGTAAGCACGGTGAGAAGAGTCTCAAGCAGCCTATATATTTTCAGCATGCCGAAAACTAGCCAGGTAGGCATGAATCGCCGATACTCACCATACACATCCGACCTGCATGATTGTCTTTGGTTGATAAGAATATTGGTGCCATACGTTGGGACGCACCAGCGTTTGCAGCCACCATGGATCCCTTCCATAGGAGCGAGCATATATGTATGCCTGCATAGTTGTAATGCCATACAGGAAAGTCGATATCAGTATACCGATTTCAATAACGCCAGCGGTGAGACCGATAGGAGCCATGGTGGCGTAGGGCAGAAAGTTGCGTTCGACGGTACGAGTCGCAAAGATATAGGCAGGCAAATGGAACAATACATCAAACTACACCTTAATTCAGGGTGTCAACGGACAAGCGTTGATGGCGACCGATGCAGATGCACAACGCGGAATGATTCTGTTTTCTGGACGACATTTCTCCTCTTCCGGGAAGGTGCTTGCGTGTAAGTCACTTCATCATAATCTGTGACACCTTGCAACCCTGCCCGGGCCCCTCATCTGCTTCTCGGTAAATGATAATCTGTCATGGATTTATCGCTCGCATTTCGGGCCAGTTTCTCTGCTTGTGTCGTTTTGCAGCGGCTCGCATCAGGAGAACTCAAAGCTTAGGACACTTTGATCCGCTTGCCGTCACCAAAAAAGACAGTAAGCTCGAGAAAGTCTCAGGACCTTCTTGTTTTGAACCGTTTCTGAGCTGGGAGCTTCTTATCGTGCCCTTGTTCGCTTGTACAAGCCAATACCAGCAAGAATGAGCCAAAAAGGAGGTTTTCGAGCCACAAGTCGATTTGAGATTTCCTGATGCGTTAGCCGTTCAAAGATCGGCATACTCACTCGCTTGGTACATCGTGACATCTGATAAACATCAAGACGCCTACGAAACACCCCTGTTTCAGTGTTCATCATACTATGAAGTCGGTTGTACGCACCTCCCTCCACCTTTGAAGAATTTGAAAACGTGGACCTCCGACAAGTCCGATCGCATGCAGCCTGGTGGCGTACTCGGAGCCCGTCCGTTCTGATGATCAAAACACGGCATTCTCGAAGACTTTGCACATGCGCGCGAACGTTCAAACGTTCATGCATCACATGCATCATGTTCGCATAAAATCCATGCGCCGCAACCTCACCTCAAAATCTTCACATGATGGACATGACACCGCTAGCATCGGAACTTGAACACTTGGAACCTGTTCGGCTCTTCAAACGTGAAGATTGTCACCAGTTGCCCGATATTCGGCTCAACAACTGAGGTCTTCGCGCCTGACCTTTGTCGTGTCTGGATTTGGGTACACGCGTCAATAGTCGGTCATCGAAACCAAGAGCTTCCTCAAGAAGATAGAAGGCACTTCCATACCCTGACATTTCAAGCTACTGCCATGACTGAGAACAGCCAGCCTCTGAGCTCGCACCTCGATCTCGCGGTGAAACACTGGTCAGAAGTTGTAGCGTTGCGGAGTCGTTCAGCCAGTACCTGCACTGATGGAGAATCCTTTACTGTTGCTGGCGTTGTGGCAGTTGCTCGGTAGGTCTCGATTACGTGTCTTGCAAGATCGAACGTTTTGATAGATCTGCCCATACGCCTCATTCCTGTGTTACTCGAATAGCTTCGGTATCGCTCCAGATATTCCAACGTCGCATGACGCATTGCAGGCTGTCGAACAATCTGCGCAGCTTGTGACAGCATACATTACCGCAGCAGAAAGTGGAAAGGATAGTATGTACGGTGTTACTACCGGGTTCGGAGGCAGCGGTGAGAATTATCCTTTGACCACTATTGAGTCCCACACATACTGAACGAGCCAAACTTTGTCATGTATCTCAACGAAATGCAGCGTTCGTCAATTATTCTGTATAGTGTAAAGAAGCATAGTCTGATGTAGCAATGTTTCAGAAACACCCGAGCCAGATCGTCGGAGGTCGCGCTCAAACTCCAACGAGTCCTCGTCAAAGGGTTGCAGGCAGGCATCGTACCTCCTCGAAAAGGATGGGCAACACTGCAGTCTCATGAAGCTAGCGGAAACGAAGAATATGGCTCAGCAAGCGCATCGCAAGACTCTACGCTTATGGAATCTTTGACGAACGGAACTTTGCTGATGCCAGAATCATGGGTCCGAGGTAAGAATCAATGACTCGCGCTTGACATGCAGCACGTACTGTACAATTATCATGAAAATCCCGCTCATGGATGCCCTACGGGACGTTACCGCTGTTGCTACGCTTCATAGGCGATTATTGACGCACGATGCATAGGTGCCATCGCGATCAGAATCAACGCCTTGATCCGCGGTCACTCTGGATGCAGATGGGTTGTCATTGATGCACTTCAAAAGCTCCTTGCGGCAAACGTCATTCCATGTCCTCCGCTCAGGCAAACGTTCTGACCTCAGTCGCAAAAACGTAGCTGACCTATATTTCCTCCAACCAGGCAAAGCATCAGTGCCAGCGGAGACCTTGGTCCTTTAGCATATATTGCAAGTGCTCTTACAGGCGACAGAGATTGCGCTGTTTGGGATGGAGAAGGGTAAACACTGCACTCACTATATATCCTCCAGCTGAATCCTTTGTTTAGGAAGGACCGTCGCATCATTTCTTCTTCAGTAGCTCTGGAACGTCATGCTATATCCGCCATAGAGTTCCTTCCGAAGGAAGGATTAGCTGTGGTTAATGGTACCGCGCCATCGTGTTCAGTATCTGCGTTGGCCATACATGATGCACATTTTCTTCTTTTGCTGTCACAGGCGACTACGGCGATGTGCGTAGAAGCTCTACTAGGAGCTCTGGAGAGCTTCCACCCTTTCCTTCATGATGTCGCAAGACCTCATCCAGGACAAATTGAGGTTGCCGCAAATATTCGCCGTGCACTCGCTCAGAGTAGGCTGGTAACGCAACATGTAGAAGGCAAGGCGGGTGACCGCCTAAGACAAGACCGCTACAGCCTGCGTACAGCTCCCCAATGGATTGGACCTCAGGTTGAGGAGCTCCTTAGCTCCCACCAAACCATCCTCACGGAGATCAACTCAACCACGGACAATCCCATTCTTGATGCAAGCAACGGCCGCACGACCTCTTTCAGTGGAGGAAACTTCCAAGGAACTTCCTTGACAATCGCTATGGAGAAAACTCGAATCGCTTTACAACACGTCGGTGCGTTGCCTGTAAATCCATCTCGATCGTGCTGTAATTCTTCGAAATCCGACAACAGGAAGAATTGCTTACGCGCAAATGGTGGAACTCGGCTCGCCTCATATGAGCAGAGGGCTCGCTCCTGATGTGGCCGCGAACGAGCCGAGCATCGATTATGGCCAGAAGGCGATGGATATGGCGTGTGCTTCCTATCTAGCAGGTCAGTGCCAAATTGCGCATTATCACCGTATCTGTCTAATGCGTTCACAGAGCTGTCTTTCATATCGAGCACCGTGTCCAACCACGTTCAACCTGCGGAAATGCATAATCAATCGGTGAATTCACTTGCTCTGATATCGGCACGGTACACAATGACTGCCGTCCAGTTAACTCAGATGGTGAGTGTCCTGTCAGCGCTTCTATGTCTTCGTTCTCCGACCGCTCTCCTTGTGCAGATAATGGCGAATCTCCTTTTGTCGCTTTGTCAAGCCGTGGACCTACGAGCGATGTACAAGTGCTTCTTCGACAAATTGGACGGCCACATCCGTACAAGTCTTCTCGCTACAATTCAACCCGCCCTCTCCCCGCTAAAAGTGCAAGAAATGACTACGTTGTTGCGGCAGCAAGCGGAGGGGAGCTTCCGGGAGACGGGTACACTAGACAGCGGAGAGCGGTTCTATGTGATGTGCAAGCCGCTCGTTGCCGACGTATCATCCTATCTCAGCACCCTGACACAGGAACCAAATGCTTTCGAGCAACGCCATTTCGATGCCCATACATTCCATGTCCAACTTGCCGCCTCCCTGTCAGATGCTTGGATATCAAATCGCTCGTCTTTTTTCGACAATGGCTCGGCGGAGGAATTACTCGGAGTAGGAACGAGGCAGCTCTATCGCTGGGTCCGACAGGACCTCGGTGTTCGCATGCGCCGAGGTATCGACTTTGACGAGGAAGGGACCGATGCAGTAGTCAGTCGAATCTATGCTGCGATCGTTCAGGGCGACGTGAACAACGTTCTGGTGAAGATGTTCCGGGATGGCGATTTGGAGTTGTCGGTATAATTTCCCTCCGCTAAATGAACTTCAATTCTGGGCCGATGAGAACTGAGATCGTCTCTCGGAAGCTCTTGTTTAGTCATTTAGCTACTGTGATTAATAGTCATGTCAACTCGCGTTCGCATGCGCACTTCATGACGAGTTCAGGCCGTACGCATTCGTTGCACTCGCATTCGCTCTGGCCGTGGTGGATGCATTCACAAGAAAGCCATATTGGACGATGTAGGCCTCCGATTCGAGCGTTGCTGATTGAAGATCCGGCGATGTTGTTGCCGATTTTATGCCGAGAATCTCTTTATTGAAATGCAACTTGACGCAGAGCTATGGCAGTCTCGGAGCATCTGCATCGCCGTCCCGACCATGGCGCGTGTGATCATTCTCATGCAACAAGGGGAGTCAATGCAGGAATGATGGAATGCGCTCGGAGGCCTTGAGCGCTCATCAACGCCTGACACGATCAAGTCCCTCAATCACTGCGCCGCGGCTAACAAGTTGACGTTCAACGTTCAACCCTAGTTTGAAACAAGACATGAACCCCAGTTTTTTCACCTTGTTAAATCCCGTCAAAAGAAGGAAAATCGCGTTTTGTAGCAATCGAGTCAAAATGTCAAACTGAATTCACGTCGAGAAACAACGCTCTACAACGTCTCATATGCTATTGCATCTGGGGCGCTGACTTGACCTGTAATTGCTTTCATAACACGCATTTCAACGTCGACCTATCGAAAGCGTTGAGTCCTACATTGGGGGGCCTCTGTCACCTGGTGTAGAACCTCCCGTATTTCACTGGCAGACCTGGATGTGTGTGAGTGTTTCAGCTTGATCGTTCGGGAACAGCATCGGATCCTTTCGCCTACAGATCTCATGTTCGGCGGATAACGACCGACTCAAGGCATCACATCGTGATCTGGAATACGCGCAAAATTTGCGATGAGCGGATATATCTGCGAGGTCCGGAGCCGTGTCAAGACACAATATCTATCCAGCGCATCCCACGCCGTGCGTATCGATGATACATATATTTGATGGAAGATCATACGACAACTCCATACACCATGTTCATGACAGATATCAAAATCAGAGAGAAGAGAAGATTCTGAACTGATCACTTTCGAGCATGGAAACTGTGCATCATCCACTGCTCATGATGAAACCATTAGAAAGTATGGACACTTTATCGGTTCTCAGCCGATGGTCATGTCCCAGACCGTGGTGAAACGCATTTTACAGAACTCTATTTCCCCCATCAGACCTCGTCAGAAAAGCTATAACAATCTTTGGGGCAATTCACAGGTTGCATGCATCGCGCGAATCACTGCAGTCTCCCCTGTGACCATTGTTCTCCTATTTACCACTCAATCTGCTATTGGCGATCCAATCGCCGTTCGACAGCGTCACGGTTTCAACTCACCATTGCGGAGATTGCTACAGTTGACATGCTGTCCGTGCGTATATGTGCTCAGTTCTCAACCAACGCGGCCCTGATCATCATCCAATAGGTTCTGACGTTACGCGCCCAACAGCCACAGGTCCGATGGGAAACAACGGGCGAGGTGCTGATGCGGCTCCTAGAAATGGCAGCATACTCTGAAGATATCAAAGATGCATATGAAGCGTTCTACTACGCCTTCATCTTACCGGAACTGGGAGAAGGACGCGACCCCCATGCTCCACCCTCTGTGCACCACGAATCATTTCATCTCACAGTCTGCTCCCAGAGCTTACCGAAGGCATACAGTTTGTCATATCCGGACACGTTGCCGTTGGACGCGCGTTGCGGTTCGCCAAATGCGCTGACAAAACATGTACCACAATTCGTCTCCTTCATGACTGACGACCATACTCCGCTCGAGTTCTCATGTGTTTTCGACGTTGACGGGCGTGCTACCATACGGTTCTCCATTGACCCCATAGAGCGACAGAGAGAAGGCGGGGAACCGGCGATGAAGGTCTTCGAACACTATGCTTCGATTCTTGGCATCTCCGATGCCGATCTTGCTTGGTGCAGGGTTTGTGCAGCAAATCTCACTATGGTTACGGATGCAGGGCCGCTCAAGATCTACGGAAGGCCAAGATACCCCTCTCAATACTTCGTCGGTAAGTTTCGACGTCTCTGTCGATCCAGAGAACGGGCTCATTCCTTCTCAGGGTTCGAGTTGACAGGAGCTACACCGTCTATGAAGGCGTACTTCTTGCCTGAAACCATATCCGCTGCCACTGGGATCTCCAAATACGAGCTCGTCGAGGCGACGATACGAGAGCTTGCGCAGGATGCGAAGGGGCTGCTATTGGCGTGGAGTGCAATCAACTCCTTTTTTTGTGCACTGCCAGACGATCTCAAGCCCTCTCCGGAGATCGTTGCCGTCGACTGTTGTCCTTCGCACAGGAACCGTGTGAAGGTATATGTGCGCACGCCTAAAGTCACCCTCGACATCATCCGGCGATTCATGACACTGGATTACACCCTCAAGACTCCCGCTCTTGAGCAAGCGCTTTCCTCCATAGCGATATTCTGGGACATACTATTCCCAGGCCTTCCCGTCGACAAGGAGCCAGAGCTGAGCAAACAGCACACGGAGCACCTTACCGGTGGTCTTCTGTTCTACTACGAACTGCGCGGAAACAGTTGTAACCCTTATCCAAAGGTCTATATCCCCGTCCGACATCTATGCAAAAATGATGAGCAGATTGTCGAGGCAATGGAGCAGTTCTATCGTGCCATAGGGAATTTGGAGACTACCAAAAAATACCACAAAATCGTACGGAACACTTTGTGAGCGCTTACTGATATTTTTATTAATTGGTCCTGGATTCTGATGATGTGTTAGTACCCATCGTCCGCTCATGTCACGGACCGGTATTCATACGTATATCGCCGTCGCCGCGAAAGCAGATAGCATTGAAACTACAGCATACTTCAATCCGGAGAGGCATCACGAATGGGCTGCTTAGACGACGTCACCATAGACTTCTTCGTTCGGATTCACGGACGTGTTCGTTTCACGGCCAACGTCGATTAATGGGTTTAATAGCATTGTCACTGTAGAAGTTACGCTTGAGACCTTGCGAATATTGCTGAGGCTAATGCTATGTAGAGACGCGTCTAGATTTGATTACGATATAATCACTATTTGTTGCGGTTGCATGAAAACGACATAGATGTTGCTGGGAGACTTGACACGAGGATAGCTGTGTCGAATGGGTACCACTTTGAAGAGGACCATCGAACGGAAACTACTACGGACAGCAAGCCGCGCTTCCAATACTGCCGCTAGCTGTTGAATGTACCCAGCGGCTGACCGTAATTTCCATGCGCACCCCGCTAATTGCTCCCATGCTCAAGACAAAGGAGCGCCAACATTATGATGATCAGCCATTCACGGCATAGCATTCGCACTACTACTATCGTACATTCAGTGGCAAGAGCACACAATTCCGACACAATCTCATATAACGCTAACACAAAGACGATAAATCTGACCAACCCGCGTTACAATCACTCCGAAAGCTTGGTTATTTCCTTCCGTCCTTCCAACGATATCTCGCCGATCCCTTGAGTACTTTGCTCTACGTCCTTAACTTGCTGTTCGCAAGGACGAAGAATTCTCGCAAAGTACACATCGAGCTCTTCTGGACGAGCTAGCGGCACACGCAGAGACACGATGCCATCCGGGCGAACGACAATAATCGCTCCTTCGTCCGCATTCACATCGTATCTGTCGAACGCCTCCCCCGTATGATCGTAGACGGTCCTTCCAAACGGCTCCGCCCCAAGAACCTCTGAGGTTTGCATCGCATCGGTTCCTCTTACGATCGTGAGGTAGGAGAACGCAGGCGCCCGCGTGTGTGCGAACGAGCGTGGAGAAGCGATGTGCTCGCGAAGCGCATTATACTTCCGCTGGGACGCTGCGGACAGCTGCACTGCATCCTGCAAGACCTGCAGCTCGCCTGCCCAGATCATAATCCAGAAGCGCCCTTGATACGGCATGAATTCATGCAACCGACGCGGGACGAACGAGCCTAATTCGAACACAAGAGCATCGGGAGCGCGCGCGCCTATTAAATGAGTTTGTGGCGCGGAGTTAGGACGATTCAGCATGTTTTCCTGGTACGAGACGCCCAGGCCGACGGAGAATGCGGAATTCATGTTGAACACTCGCTCAAGGTAGGCATTGACGTCGGCATCAGGAGGCGGGTTGTAATGTGCAGGTATTTTGCCAGAGATGAGGGAGGCGATGTCTCGATCGAGCTCGATGAGATGCAGAGCAGATGCGCGACGCTCAGAGTTGTACGTATCAAGGATCTCCTCGTCGAACCAGCCCTTAAGAACGCCGGCCAGTTTCCACGCAAGGTTCGTGGCGTCATGCAGGCCAGTGTTCAGGCCCTAAAGGTCAGCTCAGCGGAGAGTGCCGCGGAAGTAAATTCTGACATACCTGTGCAGCGCCTGACGAGTGCGTATGTGCTGCATCTCCAGCCAAGAACACGCGGCCCTTCTTGAAGGTTTCGGCGACTCGCTGGCCGATCTGATACACCGTCCACCAGTCCAGCTTTACGAACTCCAGCGAGAACGGCTCCACTGCCTTTCGTGCCTCTTCCATGACCGTTTCTGCGGTAACATTCTCTCCGTGCTCGCCGTATAGTGCATCAGGACACACGAACCCAATGCGAGTACGGCCATTATCCGTCGGTGTCCACAAGACGTTCCCGTGATGACGCGACTCAATCGAGACACCGACTCGCCTGCTCTCCGGCATGTTGGTACGCACGATCGCATCGAGCCGGACCCACTTATTTGTCGACAATGTTCCCGGGAAGGATATATTGCTCAGGGTCCGTACCGATGATCGGCCACCATCAGCTCCAATGAGATATTTGCTGCAAGGCGCATGATTGTATTTGTGAGCTCTATACGAGTGATAGCATACTTACCAATGGACCGTTGCTTTCTCAGAACGAAACTGCACGGTAGCAGCAATGGGATATTCCTGAGAATCGCCAACGCAAAAATCCAACAACTTAGCAGGGGACTGTACTGCGGCTGGGTCGAACTCGGCAATAGCATCCCGGAGAGCGTCTTCGATGTATTTCTGGCGGATGCTAAAGCTGTAGCGTGCGATATCAGTAAGCGATCAAGACGATCCTGATGGTAGACCAACCTGTAATCGAAATAGGTCTTGCCTTTGATGGCATTCTGGACGAAGCTCCAACCTCGGGCAGGAACTCGTTTGCCGTCTTTGAAGGTAGTGGCGTTTCTGTTCCCCTACAGATTCGGTACCGCTTCGTGTTTTCGAATTCAAAAGAGACGTACCTCACCACGAAGCCTACATCAGCAATCCGGCTGTACACGCCGATGAGGCTGAGCAGCTCCAGCGATCGAGCATACAGCATACATGCGCGACCATATAATGCTTGTTCAGACTTGTCATGCTGCTCTGTGAACAACGCGATCAGGCGTAGCAGAGAAAGAGATAGCAGGAACTTGAATATGTACCGATGGCTAAGACACTGATACCGGCTTTTGCAAGGATGTATGTCGCGGTTAGGGAAATGGGGCCTCCGCCGACAAGAAGCACGTCAACGGTCTGGGGCAGAGTTGAAGATGTCATTTCTGCGGCTGGTGCCTGCTAAAGTTCCAGCCAAATGTTTTCAAAGCGTTTCTTGAATTACGAGGTAGCTGGAGGGACCAACGATGGAGGTGGGGAGAGAGATCAGTGAGAAGGAACGCGCCCGAGAGTGCTCCACGAAAGCTGATTTATGGGCCTAAGTTGGGTCTGAGACCGTCACCGAACGGAAACGTTTGCGGGACGGTCGTGCATTCCGAGCGAGCCCAGATCTCTCTCGAAAGGTGTTCGCGAAGCTCGGCAACAGAGAAGGAAATCTCCTAAAGATGCGTTATATCAGCGTGTGGTCAAGCTTCAGCTTCAAGGATGGAACGTACACCCTATTGGGCACTTCGGAAACGACTAGTGTCGCCGCCGGAGCCAAATAGGCGCAGATGATTGAATATACATCAAATGGAAATACTGTGATCGGAGTGCTTTAAGTTTTGATTTTTTGCAATATAATTGATGGCACGTTGTAACCACGTGAATCACAGCGTCTCCGCGCCCTGGCGGCAGATCCCTTGCTCGCCTTCGATGCGAGGCGATGCCGCAGAGGAGCTGCCTGATAGAGTGCGGAAGGACGGCAGCGTGTAGGGTGAAGCGAACACAATGAACTTATAGACGTGACAACTGTGACAGAGAGTTCCCCGTTAAGCCATGATGAGCAAATATTGCCAAGCAATGGAAACGTCCGACTGCCATTTCGACCGGGAGAGCCTTGCTCTGGCAAGCAAAGTTCAATATGAGGTTTGCTCTCACACCTGCATGTTGAGTGCTAACAGAGATTTACAGGAGCATCGTACAGGCATGGTACCCCAATCCTAGCTGAGGCAACGTGGTCCGAGTCGGGTATAGAGTCAAACACTGATCATCTAATGCAGACCATCCAAACGGCCGAACGCCTGTTCCATACATCGTTACTATGGGTATCGTTCGCAGGAAGTGGGGTAGACCAGAGAAGATAATGATCTAAGACCAGCTTGCTGATGACCGCGTCATACCTTCTCAAACAATCGTCTGTTGAATTGGAAGCGTACTGGGAGAAGCACGAGGGACGCCACGACAGATACCAACGCGGACCATACGATCAGATACCGATACGCACTGCGCGACTCCAGGTCCATCTTTCCGTCGCGTACTGTATTCATGATGATCTGCGACCCCAACGGTACTGAAAAGATGGAAGGTATGATGACCGCAAGGAACTGGAATGATACTGCGGTGCCAAGCTTCTCTATACCTGTACGTGAGGTCAGTCGGGCTTGAGTGGAAGACGGGTGCAGCGGCGTACCAACAATCTTGACAGCAGTAGGGACAGACAGGGACCAGTATGCTGTCCGAACCACAGGCATGAGTACATACCCGTCTGCATTATACGAGAGACACTGACCTCCAGCGAAGATCCCATAAAAGACAGCGAAGACCATCAAAACGCCCAGACTGGCCGCAAAGTACCACATCACGATCGAGGACAGCCCCATTAACAGACTGAAGACTATCAGCAAATTGATCGGCCCAGCCTTGTCCGCCAGCGTTCCCGACAGCACTCTGCCTACGACCTGCATGCCGTTCGCAACGGAGACCACTCCGGACGCCTTGGATGCGGAGATTCCGACGGCAGTACAGTAGCCTGCATGGTCTTTCATGAAAAAGAGTAACGGAGGCCAGAAGTGAGCACTGACTTGGTATAAAGAACAACGGTGTCGCGTAGCCGAAGAACTGGAAGAAGACAAACAACAAGAAGTACGGGAACCCGGAGATTCTGAGTACTCTCCAGTCGAAGGCTTTGTATTGCACATTACGCTTAGCAACCGAGCGTTGCTTGATCAGGAGCACTCCGCAAAGACCGAAAGCGAGGCTTATGAAACCGAGGAATCGTAGACACCAGGCGATGGAAGTGTGACTGATAAGCGCTTGCGAAATGGGAGGTAGTACAACGCCAGCGATGCCGCTGCCGGACTACAGGCAAGTACCCAAGACATATAATTACTGTGAGTTTCCGGCTGAGGAAATATAAACGACTAACACTGGCGATACCCGTTGCTAAACTTCGACGCTTGGCGAACCACTGCGAGGGTAACCCAACGGCGGGAATGAAAGCGAATGAACATCCGATGCTGTAACAATTCTCAGGCACCATATCGTTTACGAGAACGATGCATATCACTCACCCAAATAGGATGCCTTCCGAGAGCAGAAGCTGCCAGTACTGCATCGAAATCGATGCCAGCATGAGGGAGAGTGACACCAAAACGACTCCACAGAGTACGGTGAACTGCACGCCCACCCTGGAGACAAGGATGTTCGCGAGCGGACCGACGGCAAACGTGAATCCTCCAGAGCAGCCGCCTATGTATCCGATCTGCGCAACCGTCCGATCACGTAAATGGGAGCTGGGGTCGCTGATATACGCGCTCTGCAGTATGCCCCAGACGTTGACGATCCCGAACGTCGTGAATGTCACCAGCCAGACTGCGGCCACGGTCATCCAGGCATGGAGACCGCCGTCCGGGGGAGAGTCTAGCACTTCGTTATCGACTTCGACAATCGCTAGGCTGTCTATGGCGGCCTTCTCTGCTTCTCCTTCTGTGGATTGGGTCTTGACCAGTGACATGGAAGACGACGTGAGGCCCCTGATGGGGAGTGAGAGGGGTTCTGCAAAACGAGTGGATGCAACATGCTGCGCTGCCGTGCCAGGGGATAGACTTCCGTCGGGAGTGGGTGCGGCTTGCATAGTAGACATGTGCTAGAGATGGTGGAGAAATTGATCGCTGGAATCTTGGAGGAAGCATATGTGCAATTTGGACAGTCCTATATTGTGCGATGTAGCACGACATGCTAGACCCTGATGGCAGCCTTCTGCACCTGCATCCGGCAGAATAGCGGCGTTCCCCTGGAATGATATGCAGACCTTGGAAGCCTTGTTCGACATGGCCGAGCGCTGATTGATGTTTCGTCACAACAGGCGCAGATCGAGGAGGCGCACGTACATGTAGCCGACCACGAGTTCCGACGAATTTGATGGCATCGTTTTAGGTGATGTTTCTTCCAACATTAATGTTACATCAATTATCGAATTGACATTTTGGGTTAGATGCTGCGGGTTCCACCGTGACGGACGTCGGCAGTGAGGTTGTGGCAGCTCGGCTTATGGGATACGAACATCCCATCATATCTCGAGCTTTGTGGCAGCCGACTCTACGCGACAGTTCGTTGCACATGTACAAAAAGGTTCCCAAAGATGCCCACCAATTGGCCATGGCGTGGCTTTGCGTGTGTCACATAAAGCAAGCAAGTGCAGCGCTTCCTAATTCAACCCCCTACGTTCCTCGGTCCCTTGCACCGCAATCGACGACCACAAGCAGATAGCATTCTCGTCATGCAAACGAGACCAGCGTTTTCTGTGCCAAATGGTCCGCTCAAGACGCTACATGAAGGGGTGCTTCTGCAACCTCTGTTGTCGATCAAGGAGATTCTCGTGTCCGAGCCTTTCACTCCATGCCCTGACCTCCCCAGAGCACACATTGTGGCGGGATACAGGAGAACATCGCACATAGTACCTGCCGCATGCCCGCGTTCGCTCCCACCGCAGGCGCCTCTCCGACAGCAGTTCAAGGACGGCAGCTCCGGTGACGCCAAGACCATGTCCAAGGCATTGATAGATGCCAAGTTGGCATTCGAAGGCGAAGAAATGCGGAACAAGTGCAGGGGCGCATCCAATGCCGTCATGTGGAACTGCGTAGATCGCTATGTTCCTGCGAAACCAGCGGTGGATCAACACAAAGCCGGTCTAACACTGTTCTTGACACACGCCAATGGCTCCCCTCGCCAGGTTAGAACTGGTGCTTTTCTCTCACAGATTTCAGCTAATGGAATATTTTGTAAAGATATGGGAGCCGACTCTTGAGCATCTACTGAAGAAGATGCAAGGTCATCCGTCGGTGGCTATCGACGAGATCTGGTCGTTCGAGTCCGTGCAACACGGTGATAGTGCGCTCTTCAATGAACATAACTTGAGCGATGTATGTGAGTGTTCCTTACGCCGATGCTTATGGTCACCCGAACTAATCAGCAATCAGTCGATTGGCAAGATCAATGCCGCGACATTCTCAATTTCCTTCTCAACTATCTCCCTCAACGTAGCGACACCGCGTCTCTGCCCGTCCAGCTCGAGCGTGTGACGACTGCACCTGGTGCCACTCGTCGCTGTGTCACTGGCATTGGACACTCATATGGCGGAACAACGCTGTGAGTTGTCTCCCCCTCACGAGTAGCAGCGTACGCTTACAAAGCCAGCGCGAGGGCGGCTTTGGCTGAACCTGATCTATTTCATCGATTGATCTTGGTGGAGCCTATGATTGTCCCTCCGTCATTTACTAGAGGCAAAGGCCTTGATTTACTGCTCAAGAGCGCCTTGAGCAAAGTCCAGAGGTGGCCGTCAAGGTAGGCCCCGTATGCTCATCGACATCCTTGCTCGATAATGTCATTCTGTCAGATCGCATGCCAAGCAAGCATTCCTTCAACATCCAGCCACGAAAACATGGGACCCCGCAGTGATCGACACCTTCGTCGAACACGGGTTGGTGGAATGCGGCGACGATTCTTCCTCACCGCAATCCGTACGATTGAAGACGTCTCCGTTCGACGAGGCGGTCGTGTACTGCGAGTGGAACGTCTGTTACGAGGCGTGGACTGGGCTGAAGGACCTGGATATGCGGATTGCGCTGCATTGGATCATGAGTGCACGCACGAACGTGACGTGAGTACAGAGTATCAGTGAGCTATTGAGTGTGATGTGAACAACCCTAAGGACCGGTGGCGAGGCTATGACGCAGGAGACGGTTTGGAGACGCACGTGCAATACTACTAACGTCCGCCTACCGGAGGCTGGTCATCTCGTCGGTGTCCTCCCTCATAAGACCATGTCGTTCATCATGCTGACGGTAGTGGCCCACAGGCTGTGCACGAAGCCCCAGAAGCGGTCGGTGAGCAGCACCCTTGGTCTATGCAAAATGTTTATTACCATCATACACTAATTTGTGTTCTTAGCCTCAGAAATCCTGAATGCTCTGTCTTCCGAAGAGCCGAAGAGCATGCTCTAGAGCAGCGGAGGCGTGTAAACAACCAATACTTTTGATTGCTGTCTCGTTTTATGACATATTGCTGGACATTGCACACTCTAGGGGCGATGGCGTGCGATGCTGGCAGGCTCATGTTGGGGTAAGCTTGTGCGAATGCCGGGGTATGTCCACATTCAGAGCATCCTTGGAAACGGAGAGTCATAAATGATACACTCACAGCGGATGGAAATGGGGTCGATGACGGTAGTTTTGGGTTCAATGAGCTGGGCGGCGGAGAACGTACGAAGTTGGCAATAGTGTTCTTTTCGTGGTGGTCGACGCTCCTGGCCGTGTCGCCAATGTAATGTTGAGCGAATCTGAGGATGTAGAATATTCACGGAAACGGATCGAACGAAGTGAACGTTAGTGTGCGAGACGCGTTCGTGTCGCGGCGGAGCGCTTCGCGAGGTACGCGAGCACGTGAGCGCGTCTGATGCGTTCGAGCTCGTGAAATTCAGCGGACACGTCGTCCGCCGCCTCTACCGCGACCTTCATCGAGTTTTCATCATGGTCGCATCTCTTCCCGAGTACGTCGACTGGACACAGCCCACTTTGTGGATCTCCGTTCTTTTCATCGCGTTCAATCCGACGGCATGGAACGTCGTGGCCCGCAATGGTCAGTATCCCTCATAGGATCAACATCCAATCTCTCATCCAGAGGTACCATTATAGAATACAGAAACAAGACAATAACGCGTATCTTCGGCGGAAATGCGCATTACGGATGTTACTTCCTGGCAGTCATGATCTTTTCTTTTGGCATGTTCCGTGACTCGCTGTACGTCCTCCAGCCCAGCGTCGCATGCCTTTGCCTCACTCAATATGCGCCCAGGTTCCAGCATGCTCTTGAGCATCAGCCGCGGAAACAAATGCTCCCAGAGCCGTTTGACACGCTTGTGCCAGCTGCACTCTTCGCTGTGGGCCAGACGTTCGTCATCACTTCGACATGGGCATTGGGGATCACCGGGACGTTCCTTGGTGATTATTTCGGTATCCTTATGGACCACAGGGTGGAAGGCTTCCCGTTCAGCATCTTGCGGGACCCGATGTACGTGGGCAGCACCATGTCCTTTGTCGCAGCGTCTCTTTGGTACGGCCTCCGCTCATCCTCTGAGGTATTCGTCGCTGACGTAGTTGCGCAGGTTCGAGCGTCCAGCCGGTCTCCTCATTACGTTGTATGTGTACATCGTGTATCTTATTGCCCTGCGGTTCGAGGGGTACGTCGTCGGTCACTTCGCTCGACTCCTGGATGCTAACAATGGCCGCAGACCATTCACCGATATGATATACTCTAATCGCGCTGCAAGCAAGGCTGCGTCCAAAAAAGAGCTATGAACGAGGATGATGACTATGCTCGCCAATTTACGACGATCTGGCTCTACATGTAGAGGTTTCAACACCCATATATAGCGTATTTGCTCTCCCATCTGCGCACTCCCAAAATTATTTTATGCTGGCCCGTCAATATACTTTGTACTGTATCCTTAGGTTTTCGCAATTGCTTTTGCTTCTTTCTTTGGATCCTGTTGTACACACGTGGATGTCCTACCGTTCAGGCACAGGTCCGAACTTGTATCCGGATGTAGCGTTGTTCCACAGAGTCCTGCAGTCGACCGAGGCGTTCAGACGCGCAGCCAGCAAGAAAGCTCCGCTTAGTTTTCTGTGCAAGATTTCGCCTAAGATGTCACCAAGAGCGTATGTCTACGAGAAAACTCACCTGTTGAGACTGTACGTCTCCTTTGGAGGCGGCGTCAGCCTGTGCTGCAGCATGACCGGGATCTGCGCCCTAATCTCCGCAGTGATGTTCGCCCATTGCGAACCGGGCCCAAACGCGACAGGCTGCGGCGCGCTCGCCTTGAATGGCGTAGCGAGGAGCGTCATCGACTTGACATGGGCGTCGAGCATAACCTGGCAGATGCACGTCAGTATCCTTCATGGCAATGGCGTGCAAATAGCTAACGAACGTCGCTCTCCTTTCCTGTCAGATATCCTAGCTTGATACTCCATTCGATGCACGCATCAGGGTCGTCGCTCGCAGCTGCCTGCAGGAGATGTAGCCAGTTGTCCATGAACTCCTTGGAGTACTCCCGTGTCGCGCCGAAGTCCACCAGCTCAACCTGGATCATGCGCTTTAAATGAGGTTCTCTCTGACGTGAGGAGCATATAGTCACCTTGTGCGTGCGGCCGTTCCACAGGAAGTTCGTCCAATTTGGATCTGTCTGCATCAACCGGAAGGAGAACAGCTCTTTCAAGCAGAGATCAACGATCGCGCTGGCTATCTGCGTCGAGTCCGATGAAAACGTCGGTATTAGTATCATTTGGCATGCAAGTGAGGTTCATTCCTATGCGTACATCATCACGCTCTTTTTGAGTCAAAGCGTTAATCACAGAGCCACCAACGCTGACCCCGTCTACGTATTCCATCACCAGCACGCGCTCAGTGCTACCCTCCCACACCCAAGGCACCTTAAAACGCGGGTCATTTCCGAGGTGGGAGGGCAGCGCGAACTGACGAGCGAAGGAGGCCTCCCGAGTGTAATCACATTCCTCAGCGAGCTCCGCCTTCATTACCTGTCACAGAGCTCAAGCATTGTACATCAATCATCGCCAAGTCTGTACCTCAAGCGTCCTGTCAAGAAACAAGCCCTTCGGAAGCAGCCTGCCGGCAGTCAACAGCATCTTCACATAGCCTAGGTCGCTCTCGATAGAGTCCACAATATTTGGAAACTGGATCTTGACAGCGACCTTTGCGGGCTTCTGCGTCGGAGATGAACTTGCAGAGAGCACGGCGGAGTGTACTTGTCCGATCGAAGCTGCAGCAAACGGTAGACGGTCGAAAGAATCAAAATAGTCAGCCCAGGACGGGCCAAGTGAAGTTCGCATCACTGCCTAGCACAGCATGGCAATCAGAAACGCACATCGTTATATAATGGGCAACCGTATACCTCCATCTGCCAGTCCGGCATGTAATGCGCGCTGTCTTGCACCCTGCGGAAGATGTCCTCGATCTCGGGTGGGAGAACGTGGCTGTCTTTCATACATCGTCTTCGCAGTTCGCACCATCATACACCTACGCCATGTGAGAGAGCGCACCTTGTATGCTCATGAATTGGCCGAGCTTGAGCGCGGCTCCGCGGAGTTGCGTGAGCTTCGCGACGAGGCGCTTGATATTGCCCTCAGTCATCATGAGCGAGGGCGAGCGTTTCTCCTCCGAGTTGGTCGTGCGACGGAGGAGCTCGGCGGCAGCGCCATAGCCGAGTGAGGCAGCGAGACCTGCAGTCGGTCAAAATGGCGAAATGTACGATTTGACTCGGTTAATCACCCAAAGGAACGCATACACCCACCTCCGTAGTGGAACAAACGTCCTATTCGGGACGAGGGCACCTTGGAAGACTGCAGTTTGCGCACGGGAGCGATTCTTGCAACACTAGGCTGCCACAGTCTCATCAGTACGGCAGGCTTACAGCTTGAGCCACAGGCTAGGGCAGGACTAGTGACTTCACTCACAGGAACAGAAGGCCCAGCCATTCCAGTCATCGGCGACGCTTCGTGCGAGACGCCATCCGACGTCGTTCCTTGTCTGATGCTTTTGGCTACGCCAGGTGGGGCTTCTGGTGTTGTGATTTGATCTGGTGAAGCTGCGGGGAAGTCTCCCGTTGTAATGTGCGATAATTTGACATCATTTGCAGAGATTGACTGGACAATTCGCACAGGCTCATGTTCAGGCGTGTGGATGATCTGGCCAGATGCAATGGTTACAGCCGGGGCGACAGCAGCAGGTGCAGAGGGAGCTTCGTCTCTCAAGCTCTCGGTGGGCAAGCTCGGGCTCGCCGCGCCCACTTGTACGGTCCTCTTCGCAGCCTGCTTCGCTTTCTCCGGGTCCACATCGTTCCTGTCTGCTACCGGCCTAGCCACAGAGGCGAGCTGCGTCGCTCGAATCCTCGCTGCATTGGCGAGGATGTCTGCCACAGAGTGCGCGACGCAATACCAGTTAAAGACCGACCCTGGCGGCATGACGAGAGCCTGCAAGATTTGCGAAGTCGAAATAGAGACTAATAGAGACGACCACCGACGCAGAGACACATATTTTGGTCGAAGAGCACGAATGAAACGCGTCGCGACCGCGTCGTGTTCCGGCGCGATCACAGACGCCCGAGGCAATCGTAAGTAAGTACTTGAGACGATCAATATCGGCTCATATCCACGCACAGCGCAGAGAGCAGCATGAATCAGAATAGCATGTACACCGATATGAATACCCAAGTATATATTAGCCAAGAATAGTTTGATCTCTCCTCTACAAACCTGCCTAGTCGCCCAAAGCAGCCAAAAAGCTCTGTGATGAAGGTCACTGAGTAAATCGGAAGCTACGACAGCAGACAGCCCACTTACGTCTCTTTCTGATAGAAACTCTAGGTACGTCAGAGCGACAGCAACGTAGAAGCTTGCTTCCACGCCCAGCGAGCGCACCTGATCCGTGTCCAGCTCAATAACGCCCGTATTATTACGAACCGTAAAGACGGGTGTGCGATCGTGGAAAGTAAGCAAAGGTATCGGCGTGGGTGGCCCATGTTCATGGTGGCTATGATGCCCGTAGTTGGGCAGAGGCGGAATCGCCGGCGCAGATGGCCCCGGGACTGGCGAGAGCGTAAATGAGTACGAATGTGAAGGGACGTTGTTCTTCAGAGCAGACACCACGCGCGTGAAGATCGATACCTTCTCGGTTGGTTTGGGGATGTGTGCTGCAGAGTGAGGGGTTAGGAGGAAGTGGGTGATGGGCGTCAAAGGTGTAGGAGGGGGACGGGAGCTGATGCCGGGCGTTGAGGACGATGCAGTGGGCGCAGCCTCCTCTACATATTCCTGTACTGACTCGGGCGATGGCGGGCGTATCACGACAGTTGGAGTCTGTGGTGGCGACATTGGGGGGTATGAGTGAATGGCATCTCGCGCGCTCGTAACGGTGATGTCAGACTCGAGTGAGGAGCGGGTGAGCGCACACGGCTGCATTTGAGAGGTGCTGAGGGAGTAGGAGGGTGGGTTCGTCCGGCAGGCAAACATCAGCGCTGCGTCAGCATAGTAAGGCGAACCTTGTGGCAGAGGTTGGAGGGATATGAACATGCCAGGCGGGAACGAGGGCGTCCGCATGCGGATATACCAGCCGCGTTTTGGGCGATGTATTGACCACTGAATCGTGGACGTTGCATTGTTCTTAATTAACACGTCAACGATCCATACTGGTATAAAAATGAGCAGCACAGACTCACGACAAGGTGCTCGATGATCTCGTCATCTGCGAGGAATCTTTCCTTCACAAGTGCATTTTAATTATCATAGAGCTAGACAACGAAGACCACAACTTGCCTTGAACCATAGTACTCTGTCTGATCCCTCCTCTGACACGTTGACACGCATGTCGGCGAGAACATCGGAGCTTCCGCTCTCAGCATCAGCTTTCCTGTCTAGACAACCCGATGCAGCCACCGCTCACCTTTGTACGTGGAAGCGCGCCATTCTACGCGGATCCATTGTGTGCGTCTCTATGATGGTGGGGTACTGCCTATGCGATCTCGAACCTAGGCGAGGCAAGGCCTATCCTGAGGATGTGGCGGCAGCCTGTGACGAAATGCGGGGACGAGAACTCGCTGCGATGGAGCCTCACGCAGCAACCACGTATCTTGCAATCTCCTTGAACCTTGTACACCTTTTCTGATCGCCAAGCAGCCTAGTGGGAAGAGAAAGGAAGAGAAAACAGGTGAGCGTCGAGCGCAGCAGTAAGGGACTTTCTATTAACGTAGACGCCCATAGTGTCGACTATATCGAGATCCACGAACTGAAGCAACATTTGTCAAGATGATGGATTTGGGCTTGAACGACGTCCATGTACTGGTCACAGGTATATCCACTTGCATCGCAGTGGATTGAAGCTAAATAGCACATCTCATCGATTTAGGTGCAAGTGGAGGAATTGGACTGGCGACATGCGAGCTCTTCCTCAGTCAGTACATCGTCAAATTCTAGCTTCACAGCACGCGCATCGAATGCTCATTCTCTTCTGCTCTATTCCCATGTCCTTCCACCTTATTTACGCCTGAAGAGCAAGGCGCGAGAGTAACCGCACACTACAACACCAACGCAACCTCACTCGAGCCTCTCCTAGCTGAATACGGCCCCTCTCGCATAAGGACCGTCCAAGCAGACCTCTCGGACGAGGACGATGTCATCCTAATGTTCATCAAGGAAGACGAGGAGTTCGGCTCTGTCCAGGTCCTTGTCGTCAACCATGGCTACTACCCGCCGCTGGACGTGACTGTGTCCGAGATGACCCTCGAGCAGTGGAACTCGACGATAACGTCCAACTTGACATCCTCGTTCCTCGTCGTCAAAGAATACCTCAAACACCTCGAGCGCGCGACGATCGACGAGAAGGACAAAGCAAATATCGTTTTTGTCGGAAGCACGTCTGGGAAGTACGGAGAGGCCGGCCACGGGGACTATTCGGCAGCCAAGAGTGGTGCGTATAGTCTTGTTAACCATGCAATGGCTACTCAAAAACCGCTGAACGTGATGCTGCATGGCAGGCATAATGTATGGATTGACTAAGACTCTCAAAAACGAGATTGTCAAGATAGCCCCCTTAGGCCGAGTTAATTGCATTGCGCCTGGTACGTCCCTCACGCACCACCATACTGCACGAAAGCATCGTGTCAATAGCTTCTTCAGGATGGGTGAAGACTCCAATGACGGCCCAAGCCCTGGAGGACCCAGAGGTCGTCTACCGTGCATTGGCAACGTACGTCCTCATTATTCCTATCCAAAGCTTCTACAGCCCTGTTCATTACCTCGGGCCATCTAGCATGCCCCTAAAGAAGTTGGCCACTCCGGAAGACATCGCAACCCAAATTGTCTTCGTGTCGTCGTCGACCGTGTCCGGCCACGTCTCTGGACAGGTAATCATGGTTGAAGGCGGTATGGAGGGCCGTCTGCTGAACAAGCCAGAAGAGATTGTCTATGAATGAGTGGATAGATAATGGTTTAAGCATGCTTAAAGAAGGTGTACGTTAGTAGAATGTAAAGGAGGCTGTCGCACGGTGCCCCGCAGATTCGATGCCAATAATTGTGTGATACTACTAGGCGCTATTCGCGCCTATCCCGTCGGTATGCTTTGATAAACGAGAGTGCCTCTGAGCATCTTGCACTGCGATGTCAGCATCGGCAACCTCTTCACTGGTTCCAAATGCGCCCTTGGCCAACTTATTGACCTGGATCTCGCGGCAGACGTCTACCTGCTATTGACAACCGTCGGGGCAATGGCCGCGCAGCAGCGACCTTCGAACGGTAATTCAACCATATTGCGAACTTCGCGATCTGGAGGCCTTCAAGTGTTTCTACACGCTTGCCTATGATTGCACGACTCTCACAGCGTCCACGACTCTGTTGTACAGCCCATTCCTATCAAGAAGTTGCATTGTCCTAATGGTGGTCTACGAATGACCCAGTCCTTTGCGCGCATGGGAAAGAGCGGTTCTGGAGTAGACCGCATGCCTTAGCCCCACATCATACACGGAACAGGTGTGGAACGCAGTCAGGAATCTCATGTACAACTTCTTTCATTTGCAAATCAATGCCACCTGTGAAGCCATAGACACGGAAGTCAGAGTGAAAGAACTCACTGTGGAGGAGCACATGAAGCGAGCAGAGAAGGACCACGAGAAGTTTACCGCCATCCTTGACGTCGCAATTGCTGAACCCACGCAGGAGCTTCATGCCCGCACAATACGTCCTTCTGTTGAAAGTCAGGTGCGGGATGCACTTGGGTACGCGCTTGTCATGCAGGGCACAAATGTTGTGCCGTGGTGATCCGCGTCGGAAGCGTTACCTGGAGACGGAATGGGTCGGGAATACATGGGAAACAGGGCAGAAGGTGGTAAAAGAAACACGTACCTAGTAGGTCGCCATTTCCCAGCCGTTTCCAACACTCATACGCACTCTGTCGGAGTCTGACGAGGTCACTGGGGAACTGGAAGGGCATGGACTGCTAACGTAGGGTCCGGTCCAGTAAATTCCAAGAGATTCTTGTTCAGCCGGGCCTAAGGCTCAAGAGCTTGATCTCCTGCCAGTGACACCCATGCACTGACGCGTATATATGCAGCCGTTCATGCGCATCATGTATAAACAATTCAGCATCCTGATCTGCATAGTATATAAACCCCACGCTCGAGCAATTAATGTGGACTGGCTCCCACGCATATAGAGCACACCAACTCAATCGCACCAAATATGTCCGACATCCCCGCACTTCCTTCAAAGAAAGTTCCCTATGGTAGGCACGCTCTCGAGCCAATTCGTCATGCTCGCGGGTGACGAGCGGCCGCGCAGCAGTTCGGCTGGGCAAGTCGGGCCTGAAGGATTCGCGTGTCATACTCGGGTGTATGACCTACGGTGACAAGTGGACCAACTGGCTCCTCGGCGAGGAGGAGGCGATCAAGCATATCAAGTTTGCGTGAGTGGCGGGCCAGTCTGTGCTCGTGGCCGGATTGCTGATCGGACTACTATAGGTATGATGCCGGTATACAGACGTTCGACACTGCAGGCGTGTGTTGGATGGCCCATGGCGATGTCACTTGGTATGAACGACTAAATGGGCATACCAAATCTACTCGAATGGCCTATCAGAGATCATCCTCGGGAAGGCCATCAAGCAGCTTCAGCTTCCTCGCGAAGAAATCATCCCAATGATCAAGGTACATACCTCATGCAATCCCGTCCAGACACTCCCTCTTACCTTCTCGCGAACATCTGCATCAGTTCGGCGGTGTCGTCTCTCGCAAGCCCGGTGAGATAGTCTATGACCCTCCTAGTGCTGAGGCGGAGTGCCGTTACGTCAATCAGTGGGGTGCCAGCCGCAAGGCATGCGTCCAGAATATCGTTTAGTGCTCAATTACTGATAGCTTGGACAGCATATCTTCGATGCTGTGAAGAAGAGCTTGGAACGCTTGCAGCTTGACTATATCGACGTGCTTCAACGTGAGCAGGCTTGCGGCAACATCAGCTTTCAGCAGCATATAACGACCTCCTTTGATGTAGTGCACCGCATAGGCGACAGCACGCCTTTCGAGGAGACGGTAATGATCTCGTGCCATATATCCCGCGGCCCAACTTATACTGTTGCAGATGCACGCATTGCACGATGTCGTCAAGGCCGGTTATGTGCGCTATATCGGGATAAGCTCCTGCTGGGCGTGGCAATGTGCCATAATGCACCCCTCTATCGTTTTCTGACCAATTGAGGTTATCCCGTTTGGATAGTTCATGCTATGCAGAGTGAGCATCCATAAACTTCTCAGTGCGCAACATTACTGAACACCCTACAGACTATGCTATCACGCACAACCTGACGCCTTTCATATCCATGCAAGACCATCATAACCTGATTTACCGCGAGGAGGAGCGCGAGATGTTCCCTTCCTTGAAGGTGCGCTTGTCATGCACTCTCATCCAGCTACCGTTCACACTTACAAGTTGATAGCATTTCGGTGTCTCTGCAATTCCTTACTCGCCGCTGGGCGGCGGACTCCTGTGCAGACCGTTGAACAAGCATAATACAAAGAGAAGCGAAACAGATCAGTGAGCTCTGTCATTAAATGAATCGCGCTCGCACGAGCTGACTATTTCACAGGTTCCTGAAGGCTTACAAGGACAATCCGCACTTGGAAGAGATAATCAACCGGTCAGCCTCCATAGCGTTTATAATTGCACATTAGCAAGCTGTTTACGCGCCTGCCCACGCCCTACGCAGTGTCGAGGAGGTCGTACGGAAGCGCGGCGTCAGCATGGCTCAGGTGACGGTCGCTTGGAGCCTGTCCAAAGACGGTGCGGTTCCATTGCTGACCCTTCCGCTAGTGCTCCCGGCTGACGTGCGATCCGCGCTGTTCCGTAGTTGTCGCTGCGCCTATCGTCGGCACGACGAAGCTCGAAGACTTGGAGGACATCCTTGGTAAGCTTCTCACGGTCGTTCTCATCGACTGGTTCTGATAGGTGCGGATGCTTTGCAGACACCGCAGACATGAAAGCATTTGCGACCGTTACTTAATGACACGAAATGGTAATTGACTGCCTGTTTGGGAAATAAAGTTGCTTAATTAGGGCATAGTGTTGCATAGGTCACACTTTAGAACACATTTTCAGTGCATTTGCAGCGGGAATAAATGCCTTCATGCCTGCAGTGAGAAGGTGTGCACCTCACGCTTACGTCCGAGGAGATCAAGTACCTCGAGGAGCCCTACAGGCCCATGAAGATCATTGGGCACCACTAGTGCTTCGATGAATCCGTAGCATGTATATATCTGTATATCTCGCCAGAAATAGTTGCCCAAAACAGTTATTATGTATTTAAGAAGCTCGCACTACACGATAACCAATTATTGAAAAAGCTCCGCTCTCATTCGCAGCCACCGATCTCGGGGTGGATCTTGGCCTTCCCCGTGGGGGTCGGGTGCGGGGAGATACGGCCCGATGATTTCCCGCTATGCGTTGTGATCGCGCTTGTGCACACGATTTGCTCCAGACCTGCAGTCACAGGTTGCGGTCTCCCCCTAAACTGCCCTTATATCAGCATCATAAAGATGCACCGCATCGCTTGCTGCGTTGCGACCACTCGCTCGAGGCTCGCTCCTCCACACTCCTCTTCTCTCGCCCGGCTGACATACCCCGAAAGCTCTGCACAACGATGGTGGGTCGCTGTCCGATTCTTTATGGAGTCGTGCGAGGGTGTTGAGGCACACGATTGCCAGACAGGACACGATGATCATCGAGAGGCACACCTCCATAGTCTGCGATTGGCGTTGGGCTCCATAGTCGCTCCGGTGCGTTGCATGTCTCTTTCTCGCTACTGGTCCTCTGCGTTAGGAGCGTCAAGGACCACATTATCAAGATGTCTAATATTTTACACGTTGTATAGAAACGGCCGCCTTATGGCCGATCCTCCTCGACTTCATCGGGCACCGCTAGCCCAGCGCTACACCACCCGAGTTCAGCCAGTCCCTTCCACACTCCTAACACTACAGGAGCTTCGACTCCACAAACCGCCTCACCGTCGCGAACGGACACTGCAGGCGTGCTCGCCATCCCTGCGCCCACCACTTCTCCCGAGCCGGAAGTGCCCTCAGCAGTAGCGCATGGTTGCAATGCCACCGGTACTAGCACCGGTCGCCGCACGGATTTCATTGCAACGCTCCAGTCGAAGAGTGCGTGGGATGCTTTGATCCATGGGTCATGGGTGTAGACCTTTGAGGGCGTTGGCACCAGTTTGGGCGTGGCGTGGCTCGGACTTATCTGTAGTATATGTGATAATTCTCTTTACTATGTCTAGTCGTAGATTTCGCATGCTGTGTGTACATCGCTTTAACATTTGTTTTGTACATGAACGGTCTCCTCTGGATGTACATACACGTAGAGTCTCTGTTACGTTTCCTTTTTTTCTCACACTGCGGGAGAAGATAGGCATGGCTGATCCGACTCAAGCGATGCTCCCCGGTGAGACCAGGCAGGATTAAACGAGCCACACACGCCGGCGGTGCGTTCTGAGCAGGTCACCCGTCCCGAGCCAATCACGATGCAAGGAGATCCCCGAAAGTGGCCCGTCCAGATCAGATTGAATGGATGCAGATGTCCTGACTCGGGCGCCTGCGGCAATCATTTTCTTGGATTTGAGCCGGCCACAGAGCCTTCAAAAACGAGCGCATCCGTGCCTGCTCAGCGGCGCAACACAGTACGTCAGCATGCGATTTAATCAAATACTGTGATTTTGATTGATTTCTGTGAATTTGCAGATCCATCGGATCGAGCCTCTTCGCAGGAACCATATAGAGAAGATGGAGAGCTTTGACTCGTACCAAACTCCCCTATCGAGGTGAGTGCTAGCTCAGACATTCGTTATGATCATTTGATTCTGAACGATATCGTAGCCGCTATGCGAGCAAAGAGATGTCCCATCTCTTCTCCGCCTCCGTGAGCACCACCCACCCCTGCCCGATTTTCCACACAGACAGACCCACCTTCCCGACCACGGCGCACAGAATCGCTTCCACACCTGGCGAAAGCTATGGCTGAACCTCGCGATCGCGGAGAAGGAGCTCGGTCTGCCGATCTCGGACGAGGCTATCAAGGAGATGAGGGAGAACCTCGTGCGTCGACCGCTTGGTGTCCATTCGCGCAGGTCGTGCTGACAGCTTGAGTTGGGTGGTGGTAGTACTTGACGCTGGAACAGTTTGAGATCGCTGCGAAGGAGGAGAAGAAGCGGCGGCACGATGTCATGGCGCATGTACACACGTTTGGACACGTCGCCCCTGCCGCCGCGGGTATCATCCAGTGCGTCCCTCGCATATACCCCGGCGGAAGTACTCTCTGACTATTCATTGAATTGATACAAGCTTGGGCGCGACGTCGTGCTACGTTACAGAGTGCGTCCGTCCTGACGCTCCTCTCGACACATGCTAACCTCGCTCCTTACCTAGCAATGCGGACCTGATCTTCATCCGCGAGGCGCTCACGCTGCTCATGAAGAAGCTCGTCGTGGTCATCCACCGCTTTGCGGCGTTCGCGGGGCAATATAAAGACCTCCCGACGCTTGGCTTCACGCACTTTCAGCCGGCACAGCTGACCACGGTGGGGAAGCGGACAACACTGTGGTTGCAGGTGCGGGATCTTGTGCACGGGCTGTGGTTCATGGTGTTGAGACGGGTTGCTTGTAGGAGCTTCTGTGGGATTTGCGGAACATCAGGCGCGCCCGTGATGATATCGGCTTCCGAGGCGTGAAAGGGACGACGGGCACGCAGGCGAGCTTCCTCAGTCTCTTCGATGGGGACCACGAAAAGGTACGCCTTCTGGTCGAAGGAATTGATCTCGCTCAGACTGACGTCTGCTTGAGGTCGAAGCGCTCGACCGCCGCGTCACCGAGCTCTTGGGATTCAGCTACACCTACCCGGTGACCTCGCAGACCTACTCGCGCAAGATCGACATCGATGTCCTCGCGCCGCTCGCAAGCCTAGGTGCGACCGCGCACAAGCTCGCGACCGACCTGCGGCTCCTAGCCAGCTTGAAGGTGCTTTCCATTACGTCACCATAGGGGCTCTACCTCACTCACATTTGCGCGCACAGGAAGTCGAGGAACCGTTCGAGGCGACGCAGATCGGCTCGTCGGCGATGGCGTACAAGAGGAACCCGATGCGCTCGGAGCGCATTTGCAGTTTGTCTAGGCACCTCATGGTGCTCCATCAAAATACGCTCATGACGTCCAGCGTGCAGTGGTTCGAGCGCACGCTTGATGACAGGTGCGTTGCATGTCCATTGTGCATGTACAAGAGTAGATTGGTAAGAAACGGTTTACAGCGCAAACCGCCGTATCACGCTGCCAGAGGCGTTTTTGACGGCGGACATTGTCCTGACGACGCTGCAGAATGTGTCCGAGGGCCTTGTCGTGTACCCGAAGGTAATCGAACGCCGGATCGCGCAGGAGCTGCCGTTCATGGCGACGGAAAATATCATCATGGCGATGGTCAAGCAGGGCGGGGACCGCCAAGAGGCGCACGAAAAGATTCGCGTAAGCTGCGCTCTCTACACCTCTCACTTAAGCTGACCGGCGATGATTCTGTAGGTGCTTTCGCACGAGGCCGCACACCAGGTGAAGGCGCTCGGGCTCGAGAACGACCTTATCGCGCGCGTGCGTGCGGAGCCATACTTCGACCCGATCAAGGACCAGCTGGACGAGCTGCTCGATCCGAAGAGCTTCATCGGACGTGCGCCGGAGCAGGTGGACAAGTTCTTGAAGGAGTGGGTGCAGCCGGCGCTAGAGGACGAGGAGCATCAGGAGAGTATTCAGAGGAGCGAAAAGGCCGAATTGCACGTTTGAGGGTGCTCCGAAGGGCAAGGGGTGCAATGAAACAGTTTGCCTGATTCGTTGATCTGCGAGCTCATGCGCTCAACTTTCGGGCCTTTGACAATGAATTGACCTAATTCCAGCGCTGTGGTCGGATCAAATGGGCAGTGGCATGGTCCAGTTTGAGATCTGATACAACGATGAGCCCGAGTTCCTGGTGGCCAATTAACTCCACCGCAAAATAAGACGAGGAGATGACTGGATATTGCAAAGCACGTCCGGTCAGTCTCCGTGTCCCCGAATTGCTCGCTGAAGCTCGCTAAGAAAAATAGAGGCTCAGCTAGGGCGGATACTTTACATCAGCTGCTGCGCAAGGACGACCATAAGCTGCAAAATAAATCCAGCGAGTGTCGAGATTCGGAATACAACACATCTTAGGAAACGCCGGATTTGATCCCAAGGCAAACGTTCATGACGTGCCAAGGGGCTGCTGCGCGTTGCTATGCTCATCAACTTCATCGGGGTACGTTAATATAGTACAAAGATCCGTTGCTAGTGCAAGGATTCGTGCGCTGAGCAGTCTGTGAGCTACGTGGAGAGAGAGTCGGTGGACAAGCTGAAGCGCGTCTGTTAGTCATACACCCAAAACGGGCAGCTTCCCGTCTGGTTGCTGTGTAGGCCGTAATTCTCTCTTTTGACCGTCACTCTCTGTCCCGTCGTCGCCGTGGCCGACGACGACGCCCTCTTTCGTCGGGTTCGAGCTGTATACATCCTTCGTGAGTATGCAGCCTGTTATCGAGTGATGCGTCGAGCGTGACAACTGCCACGCGTCGTTGCTTCCCTTCGTCCCTCGCCATCAGCTCGACTTCCTTTTCAACCTTCATTTTCGCAGCAGCCGAACTGAGTACAAAACTTTGCTAGACTGACTCTTTCGTCGCCGCCCGGTCTGCTCGCCATGGATTCGTTCTCGTCGAACCTCCAAGTGCCCGAGCCTGCACAGGCCGGGCCATCGCGTCAAATACCGAGACCGGTCTCCGTACAACCTACCAGCACTTCAGCGGCTGTGTCTTCGTCATCCGGGAGGAAGCGCGCGTCGCATACAGTCGTCACCAGCCAGCCACAGCCAGAGGAGCAGCCCGTGTATCGCGATATATACTCGCACCCTGCCGCCGTAGAGTATCTTGCGGCGCATCCGAAGCGAACGATTCCCAAGTTCGGTCCTTACCTTTTACTGCAGACCTTGGGTGAAGGGGAGTTTGGCAAAGTCAAGCTTGGCTTGCATATGCAATGGGGGGAGGAGGTTGCCGTGAAGCTTATACGGCGTGGTAACATAGATTCATCAGTCCGCATGTCCAAGGTAGAGCGCGAGATCGAGGTTCTGAGGGTAAGCAGCGTCGAGTTTGTTGTCGAATAAGCCCGTGCCTCACCGCTATGCTGATTTGATGTGCAGACACTTAAGCATCCCAACATCGTCCGACTATACGACGTCATCGAAACGGAGAAGTACATTGGAATCATTTTAGAGTATGCGTCAGGCGGTGAGCTGTTTGATCACATCCTGGCTCACCGGTATCTACGCGAGAAGGATGCATGCAAGCTCTTTTCGCAGCTCATTTCTGGCGTTTGGTACATCCACCAAAAGAAGATCGTCCATCGCGATCTCAAGCTGGAGAACCTCCTCCTTGACCGCCATCGGAACGTCATCATCACCGACTTCGGCTTCGCGAACCGATTTGAACATCGTGCGGATGATCTCATGCAGACAAGCTGTGGATCTCCCTGCTATGCGGCCCCCGAACTGGTGATCTCGGACGGGCTGTACGTCGGTTCGGCTGTGGATATATGGTCCTGCGGTGTCATCCTATACGCCATGTTAGCGGGCTACTTACCGTTCGACGACGACCCGGCGAATCCAGACGGCGACAACATTAACTTGTTGTACAAATATATTGTCAACACACCACTCTCGTTTCCCGAATATGTTTCCGTGGATGCCCGGGACCTGCTCTCCATCATGTTGGTGCCAGACCCTGCGCACCGAGCAGACCTTCCGACCGTTATGGCGCACAAATGGTTGGTGCCGTATGCGCACCTCTTCTCGAAGAACGTCGCGGAAATGGAGCGCGCGGCGATGGAGCAGCACCATCAGAAGAGGTTGGCTTACCAGAGGCAGATGAAGCAGTCTGCGCAGGAGTCGTCCACGAGCAAGATCAACCGCAGCCACAGCGCCCGCACAGAGACCTATGCTAGCACAGTAACTGCTACCGCACCGTCGCGGTCCAGGAGCAGCAAAGACCAGGGCTACAATCATCATGCTCAGCCAGAGTACCTGTACGAGACGTCGGCGGATCAGGCTGTCTACTCTACGTCCGCTCCACCTAGCGCTTCGCGCCGCGTTTACAATTCGGCTATCGTACTCCCCTCCTCGACGCCAATGGTGGAGGACGATCCTTTTGCACCGTCATCACTTCATGACGTCTCTGTTCCTTCAATGCCTTCGCAGAAAGACAGGGTCAATGGCATGCATAATAAGGGCAAGGCCGACGGCGATGCGAGCCAGACGCTTGACGGCGTGCATACAATCGCTCCATCTAAGTCGCAACCGGATACTAAACGAGCGAAGGGCGGTTTCAGGCACACTATCCAGGTCGAGTATGGCGAGTCTGAATCTCAGCCACAGCCACACAGGGCGACGAGCAAAGCCATCGATGCCATGGATGTCGATGTTGTGCCTGTTGCTGGGCCTCCTACCCCGACCATGGAGCGAGAAAGACCATCACGGAAGGAGTCTGGAGACGAAGCTCACACTGTTGAGAAGTCGCAACCTGTCATACCTGCTCCCTCTTCGCATCGCCGCTCCGACACCATCACGTCGATTTCCAGGTTTCCTGCCCCTACTCCCGCTACTGCGGCTGCTCCTGTCGTCTCCATTGAAGTCACCGGTCCACCGGTCTCTCCGATCGTTTCCACGGAAGAAAAGGCACCGTCCGCTTCAGAGAAGACGGATACTACGTCGTCGAAGCAGAGTCGCCACCGGAGAGGGCTGTCCATCGACAAGATTGGTATCACCAAGATTTTCGGGTCTACGACCGAACAATCGAACGACACTGCGTCCCGCGCATCCTCACAGAACAAGAAGCCTAATGCCATACGTACATCGTCGTCAGACGCCATCGCTACGTCGGCGAAGTCCGATACGGGCGGGAGGCCGTCCACATTTCAAGTGCCACTTTCGTCTTCTCCTGTTGCTACCGATTCTACTGCGCCTTCGGCCCTGCTGAGCCCAGATAATAGTGTGAAGAAGGCGAGGAGGAACACGCTCACTGTGGTGGCTGAGCCGTGGAATCGCATCAAGCAGCGGTCAAAGGGCAATAAACAGGCTATTGAGGCGCCGATGCAAGAGAAGCCGCTTGTATATGATGAAAAGAAAGCGGCAGCAGCGGAAGCTCTCTCGTCGCCCATCGTTCCGCCGAAGTCGCCTGTTGTTCCGCCGAAGCTGTCGCCTATCCACAACGTGCTTCCCTCGGCCACACCTCAACTCCCCGAGACTCCGGAGTCAGATTTGCGTATGCCGCTTTTCAAGGGTCATCGTACCGCGGTGCCTGCCTCGACGGTGAAGGCCAGCAGGGTTATGCAGTGGTTCAGGTCTAAGAGCAAGACGAGGGCTGGTAGTACAGATGACGAGGCTGAGAAGAGTACGGCGGAAATAGAGACTGTGAAGCGAGGACAGACCCCCTCGACAGGTACCGTCAATGGTACTTCGGGTCGCCTTGCAACGCCCGTCGATGCTCGTGTGCCGTTCCAGGGTGCTCATGGTGGAAGGTCTGCGTCATCGAATGCAGAGCCGGCTTCTGGGAATAGCCTCGCTGAACGCGTCCGCAACATCGGAGGCGGTGCGCGGAGGACCAACCGTGCATATCCTGATATCCGCACCCATCATGGCGCGGTTGACCAGACGACAGTCACGACTGCTCCGCCGCCGGAGGTTATGCAGCATGTGCGGAAGGTGTTGGAGGGCATGGGCGTAGACATACACGTGGAGAGCGAATACAAGTACCGCTGTGTCAGACCCAAGAAGGCGAAGTCTCGAAACGGTGTGGGTCTTGGATTGCGTGATGGTTCAGGCAGCGGTCTGGCAGTGTTCACAATGGTTGGTTCGGCCGCGTCCAATGGCGTAAGTGGTCGTTGCGGGTTGATCGTTGCCTAGTTGGACTCACATGTTCTTTGACAGGTTGACAAACGGGGACTTCCCCAGCCCTCACAGACACACACGTCGTTCAGCTCAGGCAGTATGTTGAGGGGACTGCTCATGCGGCGGCAGTCCTCGCAGGTATCCACGTCGTCTCTCAATCACGGCCACAACTTGCACACTTTAGACGGCGAAACTTCGCCCGATGCCATCATCGCAGCGGCAGTGCCTGGCAGGCCCAGCGCTGACTCGCCGATTGCGACCGAATCCGTGTATGGAGACTCCCAGCAGGATCAGGGAGACGAGATTCGATTCTCCGTCGAGCTGACGCGCATGGACCGGCTGAACGACACGTATAGTCTTGACATCCGACGCCTGAAGGGGAATCTTAGGAGTTACAAGTTTGTGTATGATACTCTGCGACAGTACGTATATCGCTGGTCGTTTTTGGACTTTTGCTGACGTCGCGTTTCCGACAGGCGTGCTGACCTTCAACGCGTTGCGTAAGGTGTCGACAGTATTATGGTAGAGCCTTCCCGTCATCGCATCGGTTCCCCCCTTTGTCTTCTCGTTTCTTTGTCTCTGCATCAAAGGCTTGGACATCTGGTCTGCGTACCATTATACCTCTTCTAATTGCCAGTGTTTGCGCGTCGAGTACTTAATCCCTCTCTGGCCGTTTCTGTTTTTCTACTTTCCTAGGTAGCTTCCCGGATTTCTTTCTGCAATTTTCACTGCATTGCTAGTTCTTCGGTTCACTGCGGTAACCAAGCTCACACTCCTGCGAGCAGCATACCGGTTTTCTATTGCGATTATGTTTGAGTCTTGATCGCCATGTGGATCCGGAGAAGTACACATATCGTCGTGACATACATGCATGCATCTCGCACTCTGCACATCCCAGTCGCTCTCCCAGACGTACACCAAAAAAAAACAATTATTACTTCAAAGTTGCCTGAGAGTGATGTGAGCGTCGCTGGTTCTTGCCACTCGGACGGTATTTTATAACAAGAGGTTTGGGCATGCATCCGAGAAAATATTGGTTTAGGCTGTCCTCTGTGAGACTATTCATGCATACGGTGAGTTTCTCATGAACGAAGAGCCACAATCGCGGCGAAAGTGGTCCACGCGCTGAGGTATGGCATCCCGTGATCGCGTTGGACGTGATGCGTCACCGTGTGATGCTAGAGTCGTTTCCCGTTGAAATACCGTGACAGGCTTACAGCACAGATTCTCGTCTAAATCACTCGTATAATGTCAAACGTTCTGCTCTTGAGATCTCCCGGTGCAGCAGCAGACCTACCGGACAGATACGAGAGCGCATTCCAATCGCGCGGGTATCATCCAGTATCTGTACCGGTGCTCGAGACGGCCTATGTCAACCTGCACGAGCTGAAGGACATCGTTGTGAGAGGGCCGGGCAAGCAAGGTCATGATGGAGTTGTGATCACGAGCGGGCGGTCTGCAGAAGCGTGGAAGATCGTCGTTCTACAACTGGTCGAGGAAGATCCCACCGGCGGGGAAGACGAATCAGGTGTGTAGTACGTTGCAACACCCTCATCTGCAAAACCGCTTTGACCGAGCTGTCTAGACTCAGACGCAACCTGGGCATCCGTCCCCTTTTACGTGGTCGGCGAGGCCACCGCTCGAGCACTCCGTGACATCCGCGAGATTGTGGGCGAATATCCTTATGTACCAAAGGACATACGCGGGGCAAGCGAGTCGGGGACGGGCGAGAAGCTCGCGCGCTTCATTCTGCGCGACCTCGGAGAGAAAGCAAAGGGCGCGCGTCTGCTCTATCTCACGGGGGACAAGAACCGAGATACGCTTCCCAGAATCCTGGGCGAAGCCGGCGTCACTCTCGGTGCCATTCAGGTGTACGAGACGCGCGGATCGTCGAAGTTCGAGGCGGATTTGAAGGAGGCAATGCACGAAGTGCGCTCTGGGGGCAAAGTATCAGAATTGGAGCAGAAGGCGCTGCATTCCGAGTCCACAGGTAATTGGACAACCTCTCATCATGTCCTAGAGTATACTCATTCGAATGCAGACCGTTGGTGGATCGTGTATTTCGCACCATCCGACGCCGAGTGCGCAAATCCTACCTTGAGAAACCATTTCGCCCTCTCTTTTACCGACGCTCCACCGGTTGCCTCTGGTGGCAAGCCAGCACCAAGGATTGCGGCGATCGGCCCAACCACGGGGAGCTTCTTGCGCGACAACCTGGCGATGCGCGTGGACATCGTCTCACCGGCGCCCAACCCAGAATCTTCGGCACAAGCAATCGCTGGCTTCGATGCGAGTCATCCTTGGTCATGATGCAGCACGAAACATTGGTATCTATTGGTATATCCATGTATATGTATTGTAATATCGACTTAATCGAGGATCAGCTCAAGCGCTACGCTATGCGCTGCTCGAGATCTGTCGCACATGATGTATTCTAAAATTCGTGGTCTCGAGGCAGGTGTACAAGTCAAATGAATGGATGGTAGGCTGTAATACATTATGCATGATCACGGATGGTAGTGGCTGACAATGCTATCTTGTCCAAGAAGCGCCTCTACTGTCCTTCAGCACTGTCGCCAGTCACGCTTCGCGAGTGAGACCAGTGATGAGATCTCGTGTGAGAGCGGTCTGGAGGTTCAAAGTACGCGCCTGCGCGCATAAATGGCCCGTGCGATGAAGATTGCGCTGGTCCATAGGGATCCGAGGCGTAGTCAAACGGAGGAGACGGGAGAGCCGGCGGTGCATTGAACGTGGCCAGTCCTCCGCCAGTTCTGTCCTCGGCCCTTGATGCCTGAGTACGGAGATACGAGAACGCGGCGGCTTGAGAATGCGAAGTGCTAGACTGAGCATCGAGCAGAGCCGGATCGATATGGTGCAAGTGCGAGCGCTGTTCTCCATAGGCTGGTTGCGAAGTGCGCGGATCAAAGCGGTCGCCGTAGAAGTTTGAATAAGTATTCTCTTCCGTATCGGGGTAACCAAAGCTAGTGCCATACATTTGCGAGTGCGCATTCCAGGAGCGTCCAGACATAACTTGGCCGATTGACGGGAGCGTGATATCAGGCCTTTGCGCAGCTGGCACCGCACCAAAGACATCTTCAACGCTACTCGGATCCCTGATAGGAGGGAGTGCATACAGAGGCTTGCTGGAACCCAGTTCAGAAAGCAGACTAGACATAAACGCCGAGGAGCTTCTCGAGATACAAGGAGAATTATCCTTATCCCGGACATCCTGCATTGAGGTGGCAGACTGCATTGGGTGCAAGAATGGATGCATGGGTTCAGTGGCGGGCCAATAGTTATCAGCAGCAGGAGCAGGCTCTTGGTTCAACAGGTCCGACCCAGAGTACCTTGATTCAAATGCAATAGCGAGCTCGAAAGCTGATCGAGAAGTCGGCGGCGCGGCGGTTGTAGGAACGGGCTTGTTCTCATTATCCTTATCCGCGAGCGACAGCGCCAGCTCTACGTTCCCAGTCTTCTTGTACATGCACGTCGGACATGCCTTGACGAACTGCGAAATGAGCTCTTTGGGGATCCACGAGTAGTGCTCACGGATCAGAGCCGTAGTCTTGTCCCTCCCTCCATGGTTGGACAGGCGGTGGCAGTAGCACAGGATATCATAGATCTGTTCCTTGAGCGCGATCGGCCGGTTCTCGTGCAGCACCACAGGCATATCGTCGCCGTCGGCATCTTCCTTATTCAGTGACAGTGCCTGCCGCTCGTTGGACAACACGAACATCTTCCGAACCCACCAGCGAAACTGGGGCGTCCCGACCCGAGAGGTCGCCGGGTCGTGCAGCACGTCCCAGATCTTGTCGAACATGACCTGCGTGAGAAGCGCCTTCTCCTGCTTCCGAGGGTGGAGATGCGAGATGTAGCCCTTCTCGATCTTCGTGTAGGCCAGCCGGCTGGGCATCCCGAGGTCGCGTTGTGGGTCTACGAGTGTCCGCACGTTTTCGGTGGCTGACGGGTCTGGGGCAGCACGCTTCGCGGTGGCCGCTTGTTTGGACTTCTCCTTTGCCTTTGCGGCGTCATTCTTGGTGAAATACGGTTGGTAGCCATGTCCTGCCGCATGGCGGAGAGTCTGGCGTCGCGTCCTCGGAGACATATTAGACGTGATGTTAATAGCGAGTGTGGATTATATGAGTATATGAATAGTGCTATTGCGTTCAGCGAGGAGATTATAGTCATGGGATAGCGGGAACTCACTGATAGATAGGCTGTTCTGCTGCTCTTACATTTACGACCAGCGATGTGAGAGCAAGTGAAGGAGAAAAGGGCGCCGCCTAACAGGCGACTTGAACCGCGATGCTTATGACACGGTCACGTGCACGGGGGTTGTGGCCTACTGCTGGCGTAGCGTTTCTGCCTGTTTCACTGCAGTCACCGTCCATCCTTCCTCGAGGTCATTGTTCGAACATTAGATATGATCATTTGACTATCAATACATCTTATAATACAGCGTGTTATTTACGCGAACCTGTCAAGTCTGCCAGTCGACGTGCTGCGCGGGTGCCATCGTCTTTGCGACCCAAGTTGTCTCGATAACATCACGTCCCGAGCAAGCGCGAGCAGAACATTCAGTACTCGTTTCCTATATTTCGACAATTGCTATTGTAGCTATATGCATGGATACCTTAGAAGATAGTTTGTCCTTCGATAGGTACGTTTCCCGATATTACGTGTTGCTGGACTGACAACGGTCAAGCGTGCCGTGCGTTTCCGATCCTTGCTTGTCACTTGCATGAAAGGTCCCGGAGGAGACTGTTAAATTGCACGTCAAGGTCACCGTATGAAGCCCGGTTTTCAACACCCACTACATAAAGGAACAAATCACATATCCCTCTCGTGTGCGCCAATCTGGAAAGCGCCGTCAAGTCTTGCTACGTTCTATGTTCTAATGGAATGCTAAGCTGACAGATTCTTCAGCCTCCCTTTAAACGCCATTCGATAAGCAGCGTACCTGAACCGAGATTATGGCCGTTCCTTTTTTCCGGCACACTAGATCTGTATATGATCGTTTCCGGGTGCTTATGGCGAATAACAGAATGCACGCGTTGGACAGTGACTCCTCAGAGGCCATATTCGGACCTGCACTAAATGCCCAACAATATCACAACCACCATTGGTGGCAGTAGCCACATCCACCAGGACGATAACACTCGGCGTCGTTCCCAAGGGATAAGAAGTGTTGCCATATATATGCTGTGGCAAATGTTGGTCATGCATCGCTCGTTCATCAGGCGCTGGTGGCTCCGAATCGCGGTACGTTGTATGCCAATGGATACCGATACGGGTCAGCTCCACCGAGAGTTATCTCACAAGAAGCGTATCTTATCGTTGGCATGGACGATAGGCGTATCTGCAACGCCCCATTTCTGCCAAAACACTGAGGACTGAGATGTGGCATCCCTTCCATCCTTCTTGTCTCTGCCTTCCGACTATGGCCACAAATGAAGGAACACAGGTGCTCTCCGAGGGCACAGGCTACGGCGTCGTCCTCGGGATTGGACTCGTCTTTGCGCTCATCATGATGGGGCTCTCAACGCTGCAGAACCGCTACACGAACTACAAGACTGCAACTTCGGAGGAGTTTAACACTGCGTCGCGCTCGGTGAAGCCAGGCCTGATCGCATCGGGCATAGTTTCCGCATGGACGTGGGCCGCTACGCTGCTGCAGAGCTGCACGGTGACCTACGAGTATGGCGTGTGCGGGGGGTACTACTACGCCGCAGGTGCGACACTGCAGGTTTTCTTGATGTCGATTCTGGCCGTGCGTGTGAAGATGATTGCGCCGTACTGCCATACGTATCTCGAGATCATACACGCGCGGTACGGCGATCTGGCACATTTCGTCTTTGCAACATTCGCGCTCGCGTGCAACCTTATCGTATCAAGCATGCTGCTTCTCGGAGGTAGTGCGGTTGTCAATGCATTCACGGGCATGAACATATATGCAGCGAACTTTCTCATTCCCATTGGTGTCATGGCGTATGTGATCCTCGGTGGACTACGTGCTACCTTCCTTTGTGAGTCTCTTTAATTTTGTTCTTTTGAGCGCTACTCAAGAGTGCCTATTAATGCAGGTGACTACTCTCACACGACCATACTCATGATCATCTTATTCTATTTCTTCTTCTACACGTACACTGAAAGCGACCTGATCGGCGGAATCGAAGGCATGTACCGTCTACTAGGAAAAGCGGCCGAAGAGCGTCCGGTGGCAGGAAGCCAGGATGGTTCCTACCTCACGCTGAAGTCGAACTGTATGTGTCGATTTTGGGGTAGAATAAGCTTCTCTAATCTCCGTCATAGATGGCCTCGTCTTCTTGATAATCCAGATGTTTGGCGCCTTCGGGAATGTGACGGTAGATCAGGTGAATATACCGTTAGATGAATTGAATCGGCGAAGTCTGAATTAGGCTGCAGGGCTACTGGCAGCGCGCGATTGCGTCACAAGCAAAAACCACCATGAACGCCTACCTCATGGGCGGCATTGCCTGGTTTGCTGTCCCAATGACGATGTCTTTGGCTATGGGCCTGTCAGCAGTTGCACTCGCGAACAGTAAGTCAAGTAATAATTCATGAAGAGCTTGCTGTCGATCTATCGCTTTTATACAGGTCCTACCTTTCCCTATGCTGGTGGTCTCACATCGACCGAACTGAACGCTGGACTGACTGCTCCGGCGGCGGTCGTGACGCTTCTCGGTAGAGGCGGTGCTGCTGCCATGGTCAGTGCTCATTCATGATATGCGCTTCGGTGTGCGAATGTCTCATGCATATATCAGCTCATCCTACTTTTCATGGCTGTCACATCGGCTGCCTCCTCGGAGATGATCGCAACGTCATCCGTCTTAACGTTCGATCCAAACGTGAGCGCGTGAACTCCCAACATTCGCTCATTCGGTAACATGATATGCCTGCAGGCATCCCAAGAGCGACTTATTCGCGTATCGCACATCATGGTCGGTATGTGGGCGATCATCATGTCCTGCGTTGCGTGCATCTGGAACGCGATCGGACTCTCGCTCAATTGGCTCTACCTCTTCTCGGGCACCATCTACACATCCGCCGTGGGCCCGATTGTTCTGACTGTCCTGTGGCGCAAGCAAACGCGCGCTGCTGCGATTGGCGGGGCGCTGGGCGGGCTGGTTGTGGGTGTCATTAGCTGGTTGGTAGTTGCGAAAGTGTATTACGGAGGGTTGACCATGACGACGACGGGTGAGACGATAATGACTAATGATGAAGTATTGATGACGGAAGATTGATACATCTGCAGGCGAGGCATACCCGATGCTGGCAGGAAATATGGCGTCTTGCTGTGCGGGAGCGCTCCTCTCTGCTGCAATCACTTGGATCAAGCCCGATAACGAGTTCGACTGGACCGAGACCAAGAAAATCAACCCGCGCGGACGCGCGCTTGACCTTCAGGCTTCCAGACGCGTAAAAGCTGAGAAGCAGCCGGATGATAAAGACTCTGACTCTGACTTAGTAAAAGAACTCGCGAAGGAGGATGCGGTGTCAATGTCAATTGCAGAGGTGTCAGCTCTTCCACAACAGCCCGAAGACTACGAAACACTGCGGAAGTCGATGAAAGCTGCGGTGTGGCCTTCGTCGATCCTCAGCTTCGTCATCATTTTTGTGAGTCTGCCATCTGACGGTCCGGTCTTCGTGTGATTGATCCTATTTCATGGACAGCTCATCCCAATACCACTCTTCCTCTCGCACTACGTGTTTTCGCTCAATTTCTTCAAAGCATGGGTGATCATCACGATCATATGGTTGTTCGTCGCGGCAAGCATTACGTCTGTCCTACCTCTATGGGAAAGTCGAGGTGCCATCATCGAAATTGGCCAAGGTCTGTTAAAGGATATAATGGGCATCAGCTTGAGAAGGAGACGAAATGTTTCTTATGTATAATTACCTTGTCCATCTGCTCCGCGTTCCCATGGTCCGCCGTTATGAACAGGATGTAACCCGCCTCCTGACAGGCCGTGTACGCGGTCGCGACAGCCTTGTCCGTTGCAGAGATGGCCTGCACGGCTGCCTCGTACACGCCCGCGTGGCCAACCATATCCGGTGGCGCAAAGTTGCACCGTGTGTGTGCACATCACGAACTCCCTTCAACCTCTATATATGCTCCTACTTAGGTAGTCCTACGCCCAACTTGTACCCAGACACACCCCCGACCGCCTGAGGCGGTATATAAATTGTACCAAAAAAAACGAACTCCCTTCGCCCCTTGCATAATAAGACCTCCGCAACCTTGTTTGCGACGGCCTGGACGCTCATCTTGGGGTCCTTGTTGTACATCACGACCTTAGGCGAGGGAATCATTTGCCGCTCCTCGCTAATCAGGATATTGTTTTTTCGGCACCGCCGTTGAAGAAGAACGTGACGTGTGCATATTTCTCCGTTTCTAAGCATGGTTGGAGATGTACTAGCACGATAACACACAATGTGTCATTAAGAGCACAAAGTCCTACAGCACCGCGATCTGGCATGCCATGGGGAGCTGCTGGATCGCTACCGCACTGCTCTCATGACTTCTTCCTTGACTTCTCTCTGCGACTAGAAGCAAGGGATTTTCAAATGTACTGGTGCGCGCATGATGAACTCGACCGTTATCACATCTGATACGGCTGTTCTGATTGACAGATGGCCTTTTCTGCGATCTTCAACAGCACTTGTGCTATTTGCACGCCCCCATCTGAACCTTACTCTCTGCGTTAATGTCCGGTCGATCAGGCATTATATAACGATGAGTCGCGCACCGATGGGCATTCTTAAAGTCCCTTCGAGAGCTGTTTTGTTTTGGATTGACCGTTATCACCGACGTTGATACCTCTACAATGTCGAACATGTCAGCTGCAAGCATATTGGCTCAGGAAGAAGTGGTCCTCTTACAGCAAGGGTGAGGACGACTCCGCTGGTTTCCGAGGCGTTCAACCGACTAGTTTGCGACCACTGTCACAGATACATCAATGCCTACTGCTCTCTCGCAGTTACTGGTACGCCCCCGGGTCGGACCACTATAAGCGATCGAAGTTGACTTACACACTGGACATGTTCAGCCCTCGTCTTCTATGAGTACATTGTGACTTTTCCTGAAGAGGTTCACGTCATCTGGGGAGTCAGGTTGACCACTGTCACGGTCATCTTCGCCCTCAACCGTTATCTGCTCATGGTACAAGGCATTAATTCCGCACTGACTCCCGTCTTGTGGCATACTCCACTGGTAAGTCACGTCGTGTCGTGCTGCAAGTGAATCGAGCACTCACGATCTATGCACACACAGAGGTAAGCGGCGACGACCGCACCGTATGTTCAGCGCAGTTAAGAGGTTGTCGCAGCTGTCAGGCTGTGATCGTTTTGACAAACGTGATGACTATTGTTGTTGAGGCTGTGACAGCAAGTCAGAGACTGTTTGACCTCAAATTTCATGAAGAGATTGATCGATAAATTTAGGCTTTTCCGCGTTCCGCACATATGCTATTAGTGGACATCAGATCGTCCCTGCAATGCTAGTCTTGCTACTGGGGCTAGCGCCAGTCGCCGTCAACGTCGTGAGTGTATATGGTCTCCGCCATCATATGTCTGTTAAGCATCTCTGGGCAGTACACATCTACAAGAGTTTCATATGCATTCGTCATTTACATAGGCAGCTATCCACTTTGTGGCTATAACAACCGCGAGTCCATCGCGATACAGAATAAGTAAGTGCCACGTCACCTCTCCGACGTCGGCACTCCTAAGGCTAGGGCTGACCTTCCTTTGCAGACGTGAGTTTGAAGACCGATGAGTTTTTGCTCTGACACGCACGATTCCTGCAGTCATCCTCATCATGCGCATTTGCGCGGCTGCATCCGACCTGATCGTGCTCCTTGTCACTTGGTTCAAAACATCCGGACTTGCCATAGAAGTGCGGAGGTTACGGTTAAGAGGATCGATGGCGACAGTGCTGATCAGAGACGGTGAGTATGTGAAACTCTTTGAGTGCACACGATGCCTTACCAGCAGCCAATTCAAGGCACGCTCTACTTCATGTACGTCGGGCTCTGTCACAGTGCCTTGTCGTGACTCTGTTCTTCTACTGTTCATTCACAGGGCCCTTTTGCTTCTCAACATCCTCGAGATTGTGATTAAAGTCCGCTACGAGAATTCACAGGCAAGTTTACTCATCCAAGTGTATGACCACTCTAAGGTAGTAACGTGCAAGCAGAACTACGCAGGCTATGTCACAATTTTCCTGCCACCGTAAGTGACCGATCTTACCCAATTCAGCTCAACCCGTGCTTACCGAGTCAATCAGAATCTCATCAATCCTGATATCACGTTTCATCCTCAATCTACGCCAGGTGTCGCTCGGCAGCATGGGCTTGAACACGATTTCTCACAGCACCCTGAACACGCGGGACTTTACCTCTCGCCTGGTTGGCAACTTTGGTGCCGATGTCCAGCACACGTCTCTTGTTTTTGAGAATGTCAAGGATAGCACTGAAGACGAGCAGAGTATCAGCGTGGACTGTGAGGCCTACGAGTTGGCGCAGGTGCAGTAGTCATCGTACAAGCTATGCGATTGTTTTCGACAGTGCCGGCTCTGACTGTAACCTGCATATGCACCTTGACATGATTTTCCGAACGCGACATCCGAGCGAAATAAAATGCTAAGCTGCCACGAAGCATACATTCAATATAGCATAAACAGCAAGGGGAGATTCTCCAGGCCCGACTCCTATGCATCTTTCATATTGTGGTGAGCTCCTGTGTAGTATTTTACCATTGTGATTCCTGTCTCATCCGCATAAGATAAGGACCTTTGCTTAACTTTACTTGAACTTGTAATGAATAGAAACATGACCGCGGAGCGAGCCAGTGGGCGCAATCAGCGGATAAATATTACACCAAAAGTAGAGACCGCCGCTACATCTTGAGCGTCTTGGTCATGTTGAAATTTTCAATTTTACCTGATATCAAACACCTCGTGGCGTTACGCGATGATGGATATAAATGGATGGAACACGAGGTTACGGCATGATCATAAGATGAGATTTGCCAGTATACTGACACCCTCCAATTGCGTTGGCATTCTATTGTATATGGCAAATCGCAAGGGCTATTTTGAAGTGCCTAAGACTTGTTATGATTTCCAGTTCCGCATACAGGAAGTGCTGTAACGCCTTCTACTAAACCTGATGCAGTGATGCATGCTTCCTCGCAATCGACATAAGTATGTCCCGACATGGCGCATCGCCTTTGACCACGGGGAGTTGCCTCAGCTGATTATCTCACCTAGTCCGTCGTCAGCGGGAAAGATGAATGGTGCGGAAAGCTCGCCTTTGGCTGGCCTGTATACGACCCCTGAAACGTTTGAGGCTGGAGGTCTGGACCTGAATTGATCAGAATCAAGACTTCTGAGAACTAGAAGAGGGAGGCTTTCTCTGCCGGATCAGAACAGATCAGAAAGAGCAACGGCCCTACCCGCAGCCCCGGACAGGCACTAACGTGTGATATGACGGGCGAGATGATACTCGGTCTGCTGTGGGCCGGGTATGGTATGTTAACATGTCATGTCGCGAAGTTTTGGGGGAGCAGGAACGAAAGAGGGAACATCAATAAGGAGCCCGAGGCAAGTAGAGTTGGTATTGTAAAAGTTCATGGGACATCGCAGCGGTTGCCCTTGAAAAGGTTCACGCCGCATGCGCGAAGCATTACAACCCAGTGGGTTAGTCAATGGCACGATGTAGTGGCAGAAAGACAAAGCAAAATCAACACAACACCAGCGTTGCCCGGTGCCACCACATGGAACTGTTCAACGAAGATATGACGCTTAGGCGAAATTCTCAGCGATGTCGGTGCCACAGAACTGTAAAACAGTGCAAATATCGCTGCACTGCACCACGGCAGGCCCCGGGTCCCGCTCGAAGGGAACTCTCGCAAGGAAGATAGTCTCTCGGCGTTGTGTGTAGGCTACAGTGTGCCTTTTTGGTTTTTCGACCTCCGCTCGGCTCCTCCCACTCAGGCTGCGCGCCCACTCGGAACAGACTGTGATAGTGCAATAGAAAACCTCATCATGATAACAATTCGAATGTAGTGGTTTCTATGCATACGAACCTGGAGATGAAGTGGCAAGAATCAACCGAAGTTCGGTGGTGAGCAGGCCGCCCACGCGTGCTATTCCAGTTAAATCCATTATCCGGGGCAATGGCAAGGCTTACCTTCATGAGCCTTTAAGTGCCTTTGGTCCAAGCCCACAGAAGATGGCCGACTCCTTCATCAGCGCTTTGACATTAGCGTGAAACACTTGATGCCTGAGGCAGAGCCAGCGTAGATCAAGCAATTGTCCATGCGCCTGTGATTCGTACAACTGGAACTGGTCGAATCCCGTCCGGAAGCCGTTCGGTAGCCGGCATTGAAGAAATTACTCTCACAGCGTTAATTATATGATATAGCAATTTGACAGCATCAGCACCGTAGTACCACGCTAAGTTTGTCCACACCAATCAGATTCGTGCTAGACGCCAGGCTGGCTTCCGTTCTCCGACTCACAGGATCGAACTCTATTCAATGGATATGCGAGCAGCATTTGGGTTTTGGGCCCCGACTTACACCACATGTTGAGGTCCCCTTGGTTAATCTATCAGCTTCTTGATTCCCGCCTCCGCATCTAGTAGCTCGTCTTCTCAGGCTGCCAGTATGGGCATATCGTAGCCATCGACTGCTCAAATCTTTTTCCATGTATTCTTTCCTCGGTATTTCTGTCGCTGTGGTGGCCGCGGCGTTGAACCATTACTTGTTGGATGCTCGTCATTCGTCCACAGCGGCAGTCTTGATTGGTAGCTTCTTGCTGACTCGATACTTATCCTGTCGACACTCGAAACGATTACTCTTTCCTGGTCCGTCAGGCTGGCCCATCATAGGCAATGCCCTAGATATTCCCCAGCAGCATCCGTGGATCACGTACTCGAAATGGTCCGAGACTTTTGGTAGGATTTTAAGTCGCCTGTCCCTTATCATAGCTGGACAAGCTTCATTCGCTTTCAGGCGATATTGTGCATCTAGAGGCCTTGGGAGAACATCTTGTCGTTCTGAATTCCGCCAGAGTTGCCAAGGATCTCCTCGACAAGCGATCCTCCATTTATTCGGACAGGCCCCATTTTGTGAGGACGCTCTTTCATTACTAGATCCATCGAATAACTATTTTCTAGGTAATGGCAGATCTGTGCGAGTTGTTCGTCCTGTCCATTACGCATCAACTGAATCTTAAGCTTAAAGATCTGGGTTTTGCATTGAGCTGCCTCTGCAACATTACGGGGAAGCTTGGCGTATGCAGCGCAAGATCGTAGCTCAGTCCTTCAGTCCATCATTAGTGCATCGCTACTATGGTATACAAGAGCTCGAGGCGCGCAGGCTTGTGCTGAGCGCCATCGACGAACCCAGCACAATTGTCAGCAAGACAAAGCTGTGAGTGCCCTTGTACTCGTTCCTTTGACTTCGGTGATAGAGGTCGACTAGGCGGGTGGCTGCGATCATCATGCGAGTCACGTATGGGTACACTGTGAAGGGCATCGACGACCCCATGATCACGTTGCCATTCTCCGCGATGGATAACTTCAGTGTGGCGACTGAACCTGGCAAATGGCTAGTTGATTTCATTCCGCAACGTGAGTTCACGATTGTAGCGCTTCTCTGATGGGATCGTGGGCCTTCCCGACACTATGTACCATTCGTAGTCAGGCACTTGCCGGAATGGACTCCCGGAGCGACCTTCTTACGCATGGCCAAGGAATGGAGAGAGCTAGAGTGGAACGCGTCATGGAATCCGTACCTGTGGTGCAAGAAGAATCTGGTCAGTCTCGTCTCTATCATGCATGGCCCATCACTGATGACAGCTCTAGGATACTGGCATCGCACAAACCCCTAGCTTGTGCGCCACCGTACTTTCCGAAGCCGATGGGAAAATGAGTGCCGAAGATGAAGCTACGCTGGTCTGGGCTGCGTCGTCGGGTCTCGGTGGAGGACTAGATACGGTATTCGCTTCTTTGCGCGGAAACGTTCAGCGAACTGAGCTGGTACTCTGCAGAATATGTGCACGATATTTGTGTTCATCCTTGCAATGCTGCATTATCCGCATGTCCAGGAAAGAGCGCAGGCTGAGATAGACACGGTGGTGGGCCGCGAAAGGTTGCCTTCAATTAGCGATAGGGCGGAATTGCCTTACGTGAGGAGCATCATATCGGAGGTGTACCGATGGGCTCCAGCCACGCCGCTAGGTTAGTGATTTCATACGACTTACTTGCTATGCGGCTAGAGCACTGCACATCCGTTTTTAGGGCTGCCGCATGCGTTGATGCAGGACGATGTATACGATGGTGTTTTCCTGCCCAAAGGCTCTATCATCATGCCCAACATATGGTGAGTGCGCTCTTGTAGCATTTAAACATGCATTCATCATTGGATAATGCATATGCTTCATGATCCGCAAGTATATCCTGAGCCGATGGAATTCAAGCCCGAGCGTTTTCAGAAGTTGGACTCGGAGATGCAGAAAGTTATCGATTTGTCCTTTGGATTTGGCAGACGAGCTTGTCCTGGTTCCCACTTCGCGGGAGGCACTATCTTTGCGGTGGTCTCTACGCTGCTCGCTACATGCAGTATCATGCCTGTGGTAGACACGAACGGCAAGGCCGTCATATCGGAACTGTCGTTCACGAGTGGAACCATCATGTAAGTGGTGTATCTCTCCGACGGCTTGCATTGACAGACTATTGTCCGCAGCTTTCCGGAGAACGTTGTATGTGACCTGAAGCCCCGCTCTGCTCACGCGAGATCCTTGCTGTCTCAGGCTATCTCTGCTGCCGAGTGAGGTTTCCCATATGTATAACCTACGTCCGATTCTGTCCTGCAGTGACTTTGAGCGGTACATTTCTCCTTGTAAACGTGTGATACTATACATAAAGCCGCATCAAATTCGATGGCGCTGCTTGAATTTGAGGCCGTGGAATAGAGGTGTTAGATCGAGCCACAAGGCATGCAGAAGTGAGCAACAGAGCTTTGAGACTGGGTACTGAGATGTGATGACAGTAGGCTCAGCAGAAATTGAACATCTGGATATTTATGCTGTACTGCGTTACTGCTGGGTCGGAATCCGGAAGACGCCATGGCCATGGGTAATGTTCGGCACAAACTGCCCAGTATTGTACAACGTGAGCATGGTGCATGTTCAATTCTAGGCCTTGATATATAGATGTGTGAAGCTCATATGCACCCAAAGGTCTCATGCGAGCAAAACCTGTTCAAAAATTCCGAGTTGTGCGGTTTTCTGCCAGAACGCTAACGCCTAACGCTCGATCGATCTGGTGATCAAGAAGATTCGATCATGATCGACCGGCTTTATCTGCCACATGTCATGGCAGGTATTCTGTTGGGAATGCCCGGAGGGAGCAATCCGAGAGCACCCAGTGAAGACGTTGTGGCTGGCGCCACATTACGTAATATTCCAAATATGTACTTATAT